AATCTAACAATGAAAGGAATGTTAAAGTCACCCACAATAATTACCTTTCCGTTTTAAGGACCAAACTCGTTAAGAACTGTGAAAATTCAGAAAGAAATTCTGAATAAGGACCTGGGGCCCTGTAAACTATTACAAAGAGAACCGGCTGGATTATTTTCCAGGTCGGTTGCGAAAGACTGAAAACCAGGCTTTCAAATGAGTTATAATCCACCTTAGGTTTCAAGTTTATTAAAAGGCAGGAGTCATAAATAGCTGCCACTCCCCCCCCCTCGGCCTGTGCCTCGGGGAATATGAGTATTAACATGACTCGGAGGAGTCGCTTCATTTAAACGGAAATATTCCCCATTCAACAATCACGTTTCAGTAAGACAAAATACATCAACATAGTGATCTGATATTAGTTCATTTACCAAAACAGCTTTAGATGACAGAGATCTGATATTCAAAACACCCCCTTTAATCCTCCTATTTTGTTGCACTATTGCATTATTAGTTTTAACTTTAATTAAGTTATTTACTACAACTCCTCGGTTGTTTACCTTTAACTTAGATAAGTGTGTCCGTGGGGCAGACAAGGTCTCTATAGGGTTCATTATGCTGAGTGACTGCTCAGATTGAAGCGCAGAGAAGTGTGTAAAACTGCGACTCTGCTCCCTGGTCTGAACTCTGGGTCATGGATTAAGTCCACTAAGAAACTGGGTCAGGTTCTTTGAAAGAAGTTCAGCTCCGTCCAAAGTGGGATGGATGCCGTCCCTCCTAATCACACCAGGCTCTCCCCAAAACGTCTTCCAGTGATCAACGAAGCCCACATTATTTACTGGGCACCACCTCGACAACCAGCGGCGGAATGACGACATGCGGCTGTACATGTCGTCACTTGTCAAGTTTGGGAGGGGGCCAGAGAAAACTACGGTGTCCGACATTGTTTTAGCGTATGTACACACCGACGGGACGGCTAGCAGGAGCGAACGCTACGTCTATGTGGCCCGCACCGGCTACGGGGGTGGGCTGGGTAACTACAGCGGCTAACGACTGAGCTTCCATGGTGCGGAGCCGTGCTTCTAGCTCACTAAGCCTCGCCTCCAATTTATCAAATATACTACACTTCTTACATGTACCGTTATCCGTAAGGGAGGCAGAGGAATAGCTAAACATGTGACACACCAAGCAAGAAAGAGCAGGAGAGGTAGGGAGGGAAGACATCACCAGGTTAGCTGCTAAGCTAATGCTAACGCTAATAGAAGTAACGTTGACGCTAAACAACGTCCAAGCAACTATTCGATGGAGCGAAAATTTGCTAGGCGGTGAGGCGTTTAACAGCGCCTCACATCGATAAGAATTCACTGTTTGTGATGAAAAATATCACGCTACAGTCAACTCAGTATAGCTAGAGCTGTGAAAAGTTCGATGACATCAAACACGCTGGCAACAGGAAGTGACGCAATAGGCTTACCGTCCCTGGGGGCTAACAAGTTTCATAGGATGTTTTGTGTGTGTGTATATATATATATATATGATATATGTAAGTGATTGTGATTACTGTTCTTTTATGTATTTTTTTTTTTGGACCCCAGGAAGACTAGCTGTCGTCTCAGCGTCAGCTAATGGGGATCCTTTTAAATAAACAAAAAACAGATATGTAGAATATTCATCACAACAATACATCTGAATGTTTAAAATGTTCTATTTATTCATAACAAATATAAGAAAACCAAGAAACAACAAGGTAGCTGTAATGGATACATTTTAATAATTATTGATTAACTATAATACCCATATTTATAAACATCGGTGTTGGAAACATACAGAAAGTATCCGTATTCAATTTGAAGAGTTAAGCAATTACAATCAATACATGTTAAATATTTTGTATATTTATATTTCGTTGTTTCTGGCATCACAGTACATCAACTTCACACTTATTCCTTCACCTGCACTTCACAATTGGATGTAAATTGTGTCCTGCTTAGGATATCCTTAGTCCTGTAATTGTTTTAATTGATAATAAAAATGTACATGATCCAAAACGTACTTTAAAGAAGCATTTTCAAAGCAAAAAACGGTGGAAAAACTGCTTCAATCTTTGACAAATAATACACATCTTTTTACCAAATGACGCTGCTTTGATAGATTTCATTATGCATTATTTGTATGTCTTTTGTTACCGTCAATTTCTGTTATAGGTCTACCAGCATCTGTGCTACAGCCAGCAATGTAAGGGAAAAGACTGCCAGTGAGCCCATTGTGGCCATGGAGGGGCTGCCTGAAGTTGATGTGGACTCTGAAATATTAGAAAAAACAAAGACTTTTGTGATTGTAAGGCAGCACAATATCAAAATATTAGCTAAAAACTAAGCTGCATCCACAAACTTCAGCCCTTTTACTTTTGTATTTAAAAATGAATAATAAAGAGTTACAAATATAAATTGTTACATGCATTCAATAACAACAGATTAACATATATGAACCATGAAGTTAAAACGATATAGTTTCATTTTACGTCACCAACAACTTACGTGCAGAAACGCTGCCGAGTACGATGTCGAGGGGGGAATTGGAGAGCAAACTGCTGAATTGTGCAGTCGCAGTGCCTGCTTGAGGAACTGAGCTCTTATCTTGGAACACAAGTGTGGTGTCAACTTTTACTGATCCACTCCTATAGTGACAGACAAAAAAAAACGTTTAAAAAAAATGTATGAGGCAAATGTATAGAAAAAAGTACCCAGTGATTGAAATCTATTCTTACGTGAAATTGTTAATGAGGGTGCGTCTGAAAGATGATGGATAGCTAATCCTAGCCACTCGGTTAATCTGAAAAACAATTTGCAGTAAAAAAATGAATACGCTGGTTGCAAGCACAAATGCACAATTTCCCTAACTGCTTGGTCAATCAAGGATGTTGCTATGGTTATTTTGGGAACATGTGGAACATAAAGGAATCGTGAACAGAAAAATCAACCTTCCAACATACCGCAATAATCACTGAATCATAGACATGTTTATATTTAATTTTTAAAACATGGATCGTACATACCGCTTTTAAATGCAGCAACAGCTCCATGACCCATAAAGCTTGAATTATTTTAACAAGAGATTTACCTAATCAACAACCTCACACTTTGTTTTGCCTTTCTATGACAGTAATATTTAGTCAATTTTCTATTTTTTTTTGCCGAATTTTGAATGGAAGGAAAAAAGTAGAATTTTCTCAAAGATGGTATTTTGTCTTTGCTGGAATTGTACCAGGCTTTGAGAAAGTTGCTCTGGTGAAACATGACCTTCCAGCCACTCAACATTCTGCACTTTAATTATGCCATATTTGCACAGTTATGCAACATTTGCACTACCTTTTTATTCATATTTACAACACTGCTGCTTAATGTATATACTGTTCTATGTATATTTTAACACTGTAACAATGTATTTGTATATACTCTACACTTTATCTGCTATCTTGCAAACTGGTTAGATACTAAACTGCATTTCATTGTCTCAGTACCTGTACTCTGTGCAATGACAATACAGTTGAATCTAATCTAAAACAAAAATTTAGGACAAAATTTAAGATATAATCTAATTAATTGTATTTACTTTGTTCACTGAGTTTAATTGTTTCACTAACATCACTTCTTATCATAACTACAAAATGAGTTAGTTCAATATAAGAATGTTATCTCCCTTATCTCAATATAATATGTCTGTCGTATGTGTAGATTAACTGTTTCAAAGTCTGGGATATGTCAAAAGGATTTAGCAAAGGGTATGTCAGTTTTGGTTGATATTGCTCTCGATTGAAGAAACAGGTGAATTACTGACAAGTTTTTTTAAAATGAATTGACATGAGCTATCCTTTTTGTGCTGCTTTTTGAATTGATACATCTGTCCAAGTTTGTTTATTTTGTGTTGTAAATGCAAGTGTGATGCTATATTTTCATCAGAACAAGTGCTCTGATCAACTGGCCACTCATGGTTACCAGCTAAAGTCGTCCAAATAGTTGGATCTGTGAACTCTATAGGGGGTGATCATGACAGTTGATCAGATGACACATCAATTCCCCACATATGTGGCCGCTATTTTTTACATACATTTGACCAGGTATTGCGAAGTAATTTATCTTCATCAATGTAAAAATTGAGGAATTTCAGAAAAAAGTACATTCCTACAGTGAGAGTGCAAAATGAGAATTATTTCTAAAAAATATATTATTTTCACTCCTATTTAAATGCTTCTGTTTCTTATTATATCCATTGATAAGTATTGTAACAATGAAATTTAAATTGATTTGCATAAATTGTTTTACAGCAAATGAATCTTACCTCTTTGATGACTTCAGCAGCCAACGTCTTAAACGCTGCTGAGGATGGGTTTGAGAGGTCTGGTATGAATCCTCGGCTGAGACTGAACAGAAGGCGAAGGGTTCCCTCACTGGGTGTCGGTGGATCGGTGGATGCAGTTGGGGCCGCAGTTGGGGCCGCAGTTGGGGCCACAGTTGGGGCCGCAGTTGGGGCCGCAGTTGGGGCCACAGTTGGGGCCGCAGTTGGGGCCGCAGTTGGGGCCACTGTGGCATTAGTGGTCGCAGTTGGGGCCGCTGTGGCATTAGTGGTCACAGTTGTTGATGTAGAAAGTAAGGTAAAACAAAATTCATCTGGTTGTAGAATTTGCAGCAGCTTTGGAAGCAGTAACATAAAACAAACTAAACATACTACATCTCTTACTTGCAACAATGGTTGACACATTCACTGAAAGCGAGAAGTTAGAATTGTTGGACGCTGCCTCCACCAGAGTGACTCGCACATCATCAACATCTTGCACTGAGGTGGCATTGGCAAAAATCAGTTCAGACTCTACCACCACTGAACCTTGTCTGTAAGAGAAATAATCATTATTTGTAAAAGAACAAACTTGGTATCAATGGTTAATATTTTTGAGATGACACTAATGGGACACACTGTAGATTATTTTCCTTCTTGAATGTTTGATGAACAATCATGTCAAATACCTGAAAGCGCGTATCAAAGATCGAAGGAATCTTCTCCCAAATCTGGATCTATAGATGTTATCAAGCTGAGGAGATGATACGTACAAATGGTTAAACAACATCTCAAAATTGGGACAGAGGTTTTGCAAGGATTTGCTATAACCAAACTATTATATAGTTTTAGTTGTTAATACCCCTTTTCATATCAAAACTGGTGAGTCCTAGATCATAGATTCACTAAAACATGGCTACAGTATTGACAGTTCTGCTTCCCGTATATGGATATGCAAGCTCCCTGTTTTTGATTTAGATCTGGACAGAAGGTATAATAAGAAAATTCAGTTTACTTACTGCGGCTGTTACTCTGTTTGCTAAATCTTTGAACTTTTGACTAGTTGTATCTGCAAGTTGTTGTTCAAAGGTTTCGATCAGGCTAAATCTCAGCTGTATCGTTGTGTCTGGTGCTGGAGGAGCTGTGGTCGTCGCCAGAGAACCAGTTGTGATGTTTGGTGATGTTCCATTTACTAGTGGAGAGGTGGCATTTTCTGGAAGTATAGCAGAAATAAACTGGTTATGACGTGTGCAAATTAAGGAAAATCACATGACTTTGTGCAAACCTTTTAGAACTATTCAACTTGAAGATAGTTCTCATTCGTAATATAATGTAAACGTGGGTGACTTTGTTGCATTTCTTAGAAATGCATTCAATATTATCCATCACCAAAATTGTACAAGTTTGAGTGGGGGGTTTATATATGTTTTAATAAAAAGAAACAACGATTATTGAGGGTTGGAGACTTTGTTACCTGATGGTGACCTGGTGGACATTGTGGTCATGTTGACTTGTGGTGAGGTCATATTGACTACTGCTGAGGTCATATTCATTGGACGTGAGGTCATATTCATCGGTGGTGAGGTCATGTTGACTGCTGGTGAGGTCATGTTCATTGTTGGTGAGGTCATGTTCATTGGCGGTGAGGTCATATTCATCGGTGGTGAGGTCATGTTGACTCCTGGTGAGGTCATGTTCATCGCTGGTGACGTCATGTTCATCGTCGGTGGTTGAGTTGCTGGCACAACTGCTGGAAATGACAATTATCACATGAGATACTGTGTTTCCTATTCAAGAGATTATTTCTATCATATATTCAGTGAGTGTTTGCCATAACGATTAGTAAAGATTGAAATTTGGATACAAAAGGTTATCTTACCTTCTGCTCTAATAGAAGATGCGTTGACACTGAGGGAGAAATTACTGCTGGTGGACGCAGTCTTCAAAGTTTCAACCACAGAACTGGCGTTTGGTAGTGTAGTCACATCATTAAATATCAGCGAAGCATCCACCACAACTGATCCTTGACTGAAACAGAAATATTTCATTGTCATTGTATTTTACTACTGTAAATACTGTCGCTTTATGCTCTTTTTTAACTAACCATGGCTCCTCCACAAAAATGATTATTATATTCAAAATGAAATTCCATCTTAATAAATCTTTTCCTAACATTCTGGAGACTTGTATCAATAATGATATTATCCATCCATCTATCCATCCATCTGCAAACCGCTTATCCTGCACACAGGGTCGCGGGGGGGCTCGAGTCTATCCCAGCCAACTTTGGGCGATACATAGGGTACACCCTAGATTGTGTTAGCCCTGCAATTGGCTGGCGACCAGAGACATACAACCATTCACGCTAAATATGATATTATGACAAACAAAAACATATCACAATTGACCTCCTTTTTCTAAGCTGCATCACAACTTATTAAAACAATGGTTATATGGTTTTATACCTGAAGCCGTTGATGACAGTTCGATTGAAGGCATTTCCAAATTTTGTTTGATACACCATGTTAAGCTGTTTGACAAAAAGAATGATAAATAAAGACAGGCAAGATTAATAATATTGGGAAGCAGGTATTTCATCTATTTCTTTACGTTGGTGCTGCTTTGTTGTTTCACACTTGTTTAGTGGGGTTCAAATATTGGTTACATCGTCCTATTATGACATGATGGTCACTGTTTCGGCACCAACTATGTTTTCTCTTCAGAAATATATAACTGTCAAATTAAAATTAGCCACTGTTCTATTATGCAAATGTCCTAAAACCATCTCAAACTGTAACATTAAATAAATAATGGAATCTGTTTCATATATTTGCCACCACTTGAAATATGTTAGTTGATGTTGTAATGACCATTGCATTATCAAAGCATTTATATTACGGTAATATTACTACAGCCTGTAAACTACAGTATTAATAATGATGTGCTGTTATCTATCACAGTGTTTTGAAAATGAATTTCCACTACAAAAGTTCAAGTTTTATGTAATTTAAGATTCGTATTGAAAAACCTTCTCTAAAAAAAGGGTGGAAGTACATTGTTCTCTCCAAATGTAAGATTCTTTCTTTTAAATATGATTATGAAAAGTAAAAAAAAAAAATCAAAGCAGATTTCAAAACTCACCGCGGTGGTAACTGTGTCACTTAATTTCTTGAACTCTGGAGAGGACTTCTCTGTAAGTTTTGTGGTGAAGTTTTCCTGCAACTTAAATTCCAACGCAATTTTTGGCTCCGTTGTTATTACAGCTGTTGTGGTTGTAGGCACCATGACCGTTGGTGAGGTCATGCTGACTGCTGCTGAGGTCATATTCATTAGTGGTGAGGTCATGTTTATCGGTGGTGAGGTCATGTTCATCTGTGGTGAGGTCATGTTGACTGCTGGTGAGGTCACGTTGACTGCTGGTGAGGTCATATTCATCTGTGGTGAGGTCATATTCATTAGTGCTGAGGTCATGTTTATCGGTGGTGAGGTCATGTTCATCGGTGGTGAGGTCATGTTGACTGCTGGTGAGGTCACGTTGTCTGCTGGTGAGGTCAAATTCATCTGTGGTGAGGTCATATTCATCGGTGGTGAGGTCATGTTCATCGGTGGTGAGGTCATATTCATCGCTGGTGAGGTCACGTTGACTGCTTGTGAGGTCATGTTTATTGCCGGTAAGGTCATGTTCAACGGTGCTGAGGTCATATTAGATGGTGTCAATGAAGTTGCAATTGTTGTCGAGGGTTGAGTTGGTGGCACAACCGCTGGAAATGACAATTATCACATGAGATACTGTGTTTCCTATTCAATAGATTATTCCTATCATATATTCAGTGACTGCTTGCCATAACGATTAGTAAAGATTGAAATTTGGATACAAAAGGTTATCTTACCTTCTGCTCTAATAGAAGATGCGTTGACACTGAGGGAGAAATTACCGCTGGTGGACGCAGTCTTCAAAGTTTCACCCACAGAACTGGCGTTTGGTAGTGTAGTCACATCATTAAATATCAGCGAAGCATCCACCACAACTGATCCTTGACTGAAACAGAAATATTTCATTGTCATTGTATTTTACTACTGTAAATACTGTCGCTTTATGCTCTTTTTTAACTAACCATGGCTCCTCCACAAAAATGATTATTATATTCAAAATGAAATTCCATCTTAATAAATCTTTTCCTAACATTCTGGAGACTTGTATCAATAATGATATTATCCATCCATCTATCCATCCATCTGCAAACCGCTTATCCTGCACACAGGGTCGCGGGGGGGCTCGAGTCTATCCCAGCCAACTTTGGGCGATACATAGGGTACACCCTAGATTGTGTTAGCCCTGCAATTGGCTGGCGACCAGAGACATACAACCATTCACGCTAAATATGATATTATGACAAACAAAAACATATCACAATTGACCTCCTCTTTCTAAGCTGCATCACAACTTATTAAAACAATGGTTATATGGTTTTATACCTGAAGCCGTTGATGACAGTTCGATTGAAGGCATTTCCAAATTTTGTTTGATACACCATGTTAAGCTGTTTGACAAAAAGAATGATAAATAAAGACAGGCAAGATTAATAATATTGGGAAGCAGGTATTTCATCTATTTCTTTACGTTGGTGCTGCTTTGTTGTTTCACACTTGTTTAGTGGGGTTCAAATATTGGTTACATCGTCCTATTATGACATGATGGTCACTGTTTCGGCACCAACTATGTTTTCTCTTCAGAAATATATAACTGTCAAATTAAAATTAGCCACTGTTCTATTATGCAAATGTCCTAAAACCATCTCAAACTGTAACATTAAATAAATAATAGAATGTGTTTCATATATTTGCCACCACTTGAAATATGTTAGTTGATGTTGTAATGACCATTACATTATCAAAGCATTTATATTACGGTAATATTACTACAGCCTGTAAACTACAGTATTAATAATGATGTGCTGTTATCTATCACAGTGTTTTGAAAATGAATTTCCACTACAAAAGTTCAAGTTTTATGTAATTTAAGATTCGTATTGAAAAACCTTCTCTAAAAAAAGGGTGGAAGTACATTGTTCTCTCCAAATGTAAGATTCTTTCTTTTAAATATGATTATAAAAAGTAAAAAAAAAAAATCAAAGCAGATTTCAAAACTCACCGCGGTGGTAACTGTGTCACTTAATTTCTTGAACTCTGGAGAGGACTTCTCTGTAAGGTTTGTGTTGAAGTTTTCCTGCAACTTAAATTCCAACGCAATTTTTGGCTCCGTTGTTATTACAGCTGTTGTGGTTGTAGGCACCATGATTGTTGGTGAGGTCATGCTGACTGCTGCTGAGGTCATATTCATTAGTGGTGAGGTCATGTTTATCGGTGGTGAGGTCATGTTCATCTGTGGTGAGGTCATGTTGACTGCTGGTGAGGTCACGTTGACTGCTTGTGAGGTCATGTTTATCATGGGTGAGGTCATGTTCATCGCTGGTGAGGTCATGTTCATCGCTGGTGAGGTCATGTTCATCTGTGGTGAGGTCATGTTGACTGCTGGTGAGGTCACGTTAACTGTTGGTGATGTCATGTCTATTGTCGATGAGGTCATGTTGACTGCTTGTGAGGTCATGTTTATCATGGGCGAGGTCATGTTCATCGCTGGTGAGGTCACGTTGACTGCTTGTGAGGTCATGTTTATTGCCGGTGAGGTCATGTTCAACGGTGCTGAGGTCATATTAGTTGGTGTCAATGAAGTTGCAATTGTTGTCGTGGGTTGAGTTGGTGGCACAACCGCTGGAAATGACAATTATCACATGAGATACTGTGTTTCCTATTCAATAGATTATTCCTATCATATATTCAGTGACTGCTTGCCATAACGATTAGTAAAGATTGAAATTTGGATACAAAAGGTTATCTTACCTTCTGCTCTAATAGAAGATGCGTTGACACTGAGGGAGAAATTACCGCTGGTGGACGCAGTCTTCAAAGTTTCACCCACAGAACTGGCGTTTGGTAGTGTAGTCACATCATTAAATATCAGCGAAGCATCCACCACAATTGATCCTTGACTGAAACAGAAATATTTCATTGTCATTGTGTTTTACTACTATAAATACTTTTGCTGTCATGCTCTTTGTTAACTAACCATGTCTCCTCCACAAAAATGATTATTATATTCAAAATGAAATTCCATCTTAATAAATCTTTTCGTAACATTTTGGAGAATTGTATCCAATATAATATTAAGACAAATGAAAACATATTACAATTTACTTCCCTTTTCTTTTTTATACTTAAGGTTTACCTCCCTTTTCAATTCATCACAAAAAATAAATAATCTTTATATTTGCAAACTTGCTTTCACAACTTATTAAAATGAAATGGTTTGATACCTGAAGCCGTTGATGACAGTTCGATTGAAGGCAGCTTTAAATTCTGCTGAAAACACCATGTTAAGCTGTTTGACGAAAAGAATGATTAATAAATGCATGGAAAGCAGGTATTCTATCCATTTCTATTGCGTTGTTGCTGCTCTGTTGTTTCACACTTGTTTAGTGTGGTTCAAATATGGGTTACATCGTCCTATTATGACATGATGGTCACTGTTTCGCCACCAACTATGTTTTCTCTTCAGAAATATACGACTGTCAAATTAAAATTAACCAATGTTTTATGATTCAAATGTCCTACAGCCATTTCAAACTGGAACATTAAATAAATAATGGAATGTGTTTCATATATTTGCCACCACTTGAAATATGTTAGTTGATGTTGTAATGACCATTACATTATCAAAGCATTTATATTACGGTAATATTACTACAGCCTGTAAACTACAGTATTAATAATGATGTGCTGTTATCTATCACAGTGTTTTGATAATGCCATGTTTTACATGTATGCAACCATATCAATATTATTGAATGATAATACCAATCAACATGTTAGATGTTGTTTTAATGAACACTTGTTTATCAAACTATATTACCATTAATTACTGTATCAATAATGTTCAAAAACGAATTTCCACTTTAAGTTTGAGTTTCATTTAATTTAAGATAAAACGTTCTTTAAAAAAAAAATCTGCTAGTACATTTTTCCATCCAAGTTCAACATTCTTTCTTTGAAATATGATTGAGAAAAGAATAAAACAAAAAAAATGTAGATTTATCTCACCGCTGTGGTAACGTTGTCATTTAATTCCTTGAACTCTGGAGAGGACTTGTTTGTAAGTTCTGTGGTAAAGTTTTGCTGCAACTTAAATTCCAACTGAATTTGTGGCTCTGTTGTGGTTGTAGGCGCCGTTACTGCTGGTGTGGTCGTGTTGAAGGAAACCAAAGTAAATAAAACAAGCAATTAAAAAACTGTGCTCTTGAGTAAAGATAGAACAAAAAAAATAATCATCTCACACACACACAAATGAAGCATGCAATGTAACAAATACCTGCCAGCAGTAGAGTAATTATTAGAGGTCCCATCCTTCTTTTTTCTGGTCCCTATGAAATATAAAGAACACATTTCAAGTACATGATGAACAAGGTTTAGCGTACAGACCAGATATAATGCAATACTACGTCCAAAGATCTAATTTTCAGATATGGTGGAAGCTTTTTTGATTCAACTAGCCAGTTTAATGTCAGATTTAGAAGTGTTAGAAGATTTCATTGTAAAGAGAAATCGTTAGACCTGTGACCTGACCTACAATTCAACAGCACAACACGTAACAACTACAGAAGTGACTAAACTAATTAACACATCTATTAGGAAATAATAATACAACTTTATTTCAAGGCTGTATTTGATCAAATTGAAAAACTGCGCCTAATAAGGTGGAAACAAAGCTATTTGTTCTTTTGACGAAATTACTTGCTGGTGTTGTCTTCCTCTGTGTGGCAATTACTCACTCAAACTCATCCTCATAAGCCAGCGATAATCACCTGAATGACTAATGCATAATTCTGGATGGACAAGTTTGAGAAACTTTCATTTCGCACTCTGTCATATGGTGTCACAACCTGCTGGTCAAGATTCAAGCAGAAAGTACATGCTCTGCCAACAAGACTACCAAAGAATTTAGCAAAAGACGTTCTTTCAAAACTGTAGCGCAAAGCGTGAAGGAAAACGTGATTCACCCTTATTTCTGAAAGGAAATCATTTTCTCAATCAGTTCAATGAGAATCCGTGTCAAAACCTTTCACTGTTTTTCAATAGAGAAGCTTGCACCCAAATAGAGCAGCAAAAAATGTCGGAAAACTGTGTTTAGTATAGAGGCTGCTATTAAATGTTTAACTACTTCAGCCTTCAGAATCACAAGAGATACTTTTAATAATGTTTTTTTATCAGGATTTTGATGCTATGACACATTAGAAATCAAAGGTGTATCCAAGCAAATAGCTGAAAAGTTTGAGTCAATGAAAACGAGTGAATTGAAAATTAAGATTTAAAAAAAATCTCAAGAACTACTTTGATTCTGAGCATAATCACAAATGTCACAAATAGAGACGGAGAAAACAACCAAATCAAAAGTACCAAATCAGTATTCATGCATACATTTAACATTGAAACAACTAAAGCTACAGTCAAACATTGACTAATTTGTTATTATGGACATGTTAAATGTGCATCTATGTCAATATAAATATCTGATTTCTTACCATGGTGGAGGCCAACTGTGCAACAATTCTTCAAGGAATGGTATGAGCCGACACAAAGAAGGTAGCGGACTCCTCGGAGACGTGAAAAGATGGAAGTGAAGGCTTGACAGTGTCTGAGGGTTTTGTGGAAAATGGTAGGATTTTTTTCTTTGAAAACCCGTGACAGATCTTGAAAGACTTGTTCTGCTGGTTACCTGTGTAGAACAGAGGAGGTTGGACCGAATGCACACTGTATTGTGAATGCAGGGGGGAGGTGGGGAAGTTGAGAGATTTGAGTACAATGCAATGGAAGCATCGTGTCTTTTTTCAACATCAAATAAGGTGCGTCAGTACAGTCGTTCTCCTGTGCCATGACTGAATTCTGCCATCGGGTTGTGTAAAGAGCTGAGCTGCACACCTGATTTCATCTAAAAGCTCAGTGACTCTTTCAACCTCACGTAATGCCTCCATTGCTGCACTAAGCAATGTCCATCAGCTGTTTTTTCCAAATATTTTCTTTACTTCAATTTAAAAGTTAGCAGTCTCCTGGTTTAGATGATTTACACACATATTATTATTATTACTATTACTTATTTAAATAAGACAATCCTTAATCAATGTGCTACTTATTACATTCTCACCTGGGATATGTTCATTTTTTAAATTTTATAGTCAGCTGCATTAGGCTCAGGGTCAGTTACTACAAAGTAAGGGTATACCATGGAATGTCACTCTATCACATATAGCGCTTTTATACCGCAGTAACACATTTAAAATCCTCATTTGATAATGTGTTTGGAAAACATTGAGCTCTGAAAATAATGGGTTATTATCCATGTGACGCCAACTGTATAAATTTATCATAAAACTAACCTTATGTAAACACAGTTTAATTAAACAAAAGTCTAAGGTATGCTAACTGTTAAGGTGTGGCATAGTCATAGTATGACTATGATCATTCACTGGGAGCAAAACAATCGACTAGATCACGACTCTTCGCTGTCCTTGCTCCGAAATGGTGGAATGAGCTCTCTGATGACATCAGGACCGCAGAGAACCTTCACATCCTCCGCCACAAACTAAAGACACACCTCTTCAGGTTCTACCTCGACTAAAAGACTAACAAATTGTAGCACTTAAATTGTACTTATAATGCCACTTATCTATAGCAAATTGTAAATTGGCTTATTTGAGTTTGTATCTCTATGGTTAAAATGCGAAATGATGTAAAATAGGAACAGGACAAATTAATCATGAAAGAGGGGAAAACATCAATGTTCACTTTTAACATGCCATCATCTGCATCTTGAGGAGGGTATCAAAGAAGCAACATTGTGGTCATACCAAGTTTTAAAAGTGGTCAAACACGTTGTTGCCATCAGTTAAGGCTATCTTCTCAGATCACTCAAATTGATTCCATAAATACAGGAGCAATCTGAAATCATGACAGTGGGTAAATGATATGGAAATCTGGTGTAAAGACACTCCTTACATCTTTAAGTCAAAGAGAGAATAACCAATTCAATTAGAAAGGTGCACATGGGTCCGGCAGCTGGGTCTGCAACTACCACAGCTGAAATGTTTGAATGCACAGTGCTGGCGCAGATGTCGCTAACTAGGGGATTGATACACAATAAAAATAATAACTTTAGAAGAATAACTTTAATGCAGTCTGTAGCTTGTGTTTTTTTCTTTAGCTGTCAGCTAAGTGTAAAAACTGTTGATCCATTACCGCCGAGTCATCTGCCCCTGGATTGATGAAACTTCTCACCTGGTTTATGAAAAGCGGCCCTGCACCAGCCAGGGACGTAAAATGGTTAATTAGTAAGAAGTCAGCAGGCCGTCATTGGCATTATAAAACAAGCAATGAAAATGGTCATACAAACAAACGCCGTTGGCTGCAGAGTAAGTGGGATTAGTCATCTCCAGAGAGATAATAACAACAACAGAACAAAATGCAAATGCAGTTGAAAACAATGGTTGTCCTGTTTTTTTAAATCCTCCCACTTATGTCAGTAGTGCAACAAACAATACAGAAACCTAAGCTCATGGGTCGGGGACCTCAAGAAGTACAGGAAGTTCTCAAACCCTAATCCAGTTTTCCGACATTCTCTGGAAAGAAGGTTGGTTTACCAGAAGTGCGCAATGGCTTCAGGGGCCTTGGCATTCCAATCGTGTAATTCACCAACAGGAGTGGATCATTTAAAAATGTGTCTTCATGCATGAAGAGTAACTATGCATGCCAATTCATGGCCAAACTGTCACAAATACATCAGGTGTCTGAGAAATGACTTTAACTTTATTAATTCAATGTTTAATAAAACAATTATACGGTATATATCCTATAATTTTTACCAACCCGAGTACAACATGGATTTCTTAAATATTGGTATGAATTCCTCTAATGCAGCTGATTCTTTCTACAAGAGATACATTGATTCAAAATCATCCTAGAGATTCACCCTAAATAAATTAAACTTAAAATTTGAATGCCTTCTCTATTTGCTCTCCATTCCTAAATTAAAGAGTGGAGAGAGGAGGAAGCAAAGTCATCCATTCAAAGGAATCAAACTCGGATAGGTGTCCTATTGTATCCCATATAAGAGTCAAAGCAAGGTTTGGGGTCAGGATGTGCAAATGGTCTGTGCTCCAACATAGTTGCTCGCTGAAGAAAAGCAGACATCCTTAATAGCCTCACTTGCACCATCAAAGCAGGTGCAACATCCTGCTTTGGAAATTGAGTTGAGGTCCAGGTTAGACTGTGCACGCAAAGTAACAAACAACAACACAATAACAACAAGAGCATATAAAGTTTCTGGTCACAGTATTTGAGCTCAAAATAAACAGACGGGAGTGACTTAAGCACGGGTTGCAGAAATACGGAGAACTACGGAGTTTGGATGTTGCCACTTTATTTTTTTGTGGGCGTATGTCTGGCCGATTCAGAACGCTGCAGCTCTAGTCCACATGAAGACCAAGAAAGTGGATCACATCACCTGTTGCCACCTTACATGCCACCCCCTTCATGTTGCCAGTCAGAACTAAACAGGGAGAAGCAGCGTTCTGTTTTTTTCCACTCCACATATCTGAAACATCCTCCCGGGAAACTTCTCGGCTGTTTCAAATCAAGATCGAAGACTATTCCGTTTGCTCCAAACTCTATTTGGAAACAGTGATGTTGATACATTTCCTGCATTTCTGTATTTTATTTCTTTAATTGTACTGCAAATGTTATTCTATTAATTCTTCTTCTATTCTAAGTTTAAAGGTTGTGTTTTTATGTTGCACTTGGACATATTGACTCTCAATCACCCCCAACACAACGTCAACCCACAAACAGTAAAAGTGGAAAACAATTTATTCTGACAAACCACATTCAATTTTAATGTATGTTAATGAAAAAATGAAATCAAAACACAAGAGTTGACATTAACTAACTTCTCACTGTTCACATTCTAACCACATCATACAATGAGTGCATTAAAAAGAAGCGGGTGTTTGTAGGTCAAGCAGGTGGGGATATCTGGTATCAGTCTGGGCAGCGTGACCTCTTTGCTCTAGCGAGGTGGAAAGCCCCTATGTGGCCCTCCTCTGCCCCTGAAGCCTCCCCTGTCCCCACGGAAATTTGGCCGGTTCCTCTCACGACCTCTGTCCCCGCCTCTTCCTGCATTTGGCCCCCCACGGCCCCCTCTGGTCGCTCCGCCACCACGTTCCGACTTCAGCTTAGACGGGGGAGACTTAGGCCGCAGCCTCTCTATATCCTCCGTGCAGCCAGACAGGTGGGAATTGACAAAATGCGAGGCGTAGGTCTCTGGGTTGAAGTTACTGTTGGTCAAAGTAGGACCCACGGTCAGCCAGCCTAGAAAGAGAAGAAAACAACATGGGCCTTGAGAGACAAGCACTGTACAATACGCAGTCATCACACACACAGCAAGGAAACAGAGAGTCCAGCTCACCTGGTCGGATGGTCGAGTCTCGTCCGAACAGGTGCAGCCTCCTGCGTCCCAAACAGAAGTGCTCAATTATGTGGAAGATCTCAACAGGCTTCTCTACATTTCCCATCTCGGGCTCCTCGGTGATGATCAAGTCAATGTCCACGTTAGCGTGGATGAAGTCCCCGTCAGTGCTCCTACGCACCGTGCCCTTGATTCCCATCAGGCAGTGCTCCTGGAGGCAAACGGTTGTACCACAAGATACAATTAATGCTTTCAATTCATCATGTTTGGATGGGTTCACTCTGAATGGTGTGTTGCAAATTAAATGAAAAAACAATTTGACTATGTAAAATGTACATTAACCTGATACATATTTCACATCTCTGCTGTACCTTGGTCCTTTGGAATACTGCTTTGGGGTCCAGTGCCTTGGTCTTGCCTGGGTTGTTCTTGTTGGTCTTGATCCAGCAGATATCCTCACACCGTCTAAAGCCCCACTTCCTCAAACACTTGAATGGTTGTAAAAGGTACAATTTGTCAATTTAAAAGATTTCAAGATTGACAGCACATCTTTTCGGAAGTAATGTTAGACGACATGCATTCTTCAAGCATTACTGCGACGTGGCAATTTATGGGGCAGTAGAATTGCAATGTGTCTGGACGGTTGTTGTGTGCAGAAATGGAAAATAAAAACCTTCAACATATACGTGGTATATGGAATAACAAATTACAGTGTTTCCTGGAAAACCGATTAGTGAACTGCTAAAAAAGTAGTTTCAAAAATGAATAATCTCTTAGTTTTACATACTCACGTATTAGTGATCTGCACAAAACCTAATGTTTTGGCTATTTTCAGTATCTCCTCTGGTTGGAGCAGTTGATTTTTATTTGAGATAACAAAGAATAATCATAAAACATTTAGATTACGATAAACATGTTTGGTCTACTGTTTTTAGGTTGGTCAACATTTAGCTTTTTGGTGTTTTTGACATAAAAATATGTTCACAACTTAAGACTAAACATACAAAAGCTAAAAGTCCAGGAGGCTCCGTTGGCTGACGCAGTGGAACTGATAAGTTTGAAGCGTACCTACGTCACACAGACCACGAACAGCACTATAACAAAAGGGAAGAATAGTCTGACAACCAGCCTAACACGTATGGCCGGTGTCTGCGGAGCGACTCAACCCTTTTGCGTGTCTTTCACGGTACACAGATCATAAAGCCATTGTCATAACATTCTATAAACCGTTGTGATGTCAGAAGCACACTGAACCAACAGGAAACTAAATGTGAACAACTTGTGCAACTACCCGTAAACAGGATAGTGTTTTTCCTGTTATTTACTTTGTTCTTTTGATTCAATTAAGGAACAATGTTACCATTCTGCCCAAGTCCAGGCCTTCGCCAGAGCCGCACCAGAGAAAGACAAAGGAACGGAGAGATGATATCTCCTCAATTTCCAGTTTCATGATCTGCAATCGCAGATAACAGAGAAGAGAAAGGTTGGTGAGAGGAGGCAATGTCCTAGTCTTCTACACCATTCACAAATCACTTTAACGCTGGCTTTCACTAGTCCTGTCATTAGATACCAGTACATCTGGATGTTGACAGGGTCAATCTGATTATCTGTCAGATAAGAGTTTCCTTTTTGGAAAGTACCTCATTACTGATACTGACTTCCAGACCATATTGCATTTACTATTCTAAACTACTTTAAGCAATTTTGGATTATAATGGTTATTGTCTCCCGTCTGAGCTGAGCCCATGAGCCAGTCATAGCAACATCACATATGTTCCACTTATTAACACAAATTGCTTAATTCAAACAAATATAACTTGCATACATACGTCATCCCATGTCCAGAAACGTTCAGTGTGGCTGATGCCCGATTCTCTGTAGTATTCCTCTAAGGGAGGCTCAAGCAGAATGACGTCAAACTCACACTTCAAATCCTGCAGGTCAAAGTGCATTGGATCAGCCTGGAGGTACCTTAAAACACAAAAGTATACTATAAGTAGAGTAGGGTTATTTTATGGGTGTAATCACACAAATATGCTCTTGAATGTTCATTGTTTAAAATACATTGGAGGGGTGTTGGTGGTGGAGATGAGCTCGTCCTTCAGTCTAATCAGCTCTCGAAGCTTAGGGTATTCTTCAAACCGATCCGCCAAGCCTGAACCACGAGAGAGAACAAGGTCAGAGCCACACACACACACACACACACACACATTGGAATTGGAATTGCATGTATTATACATTGTTCATTCTGTACACATGGCATCCATTGTAGTCTGTCCATCCCGGGAGTGGGATCCCTCCTCTGACGTTCTCCCTAAGGTTTCTTCCCTTTTTTTCCCTCTTGTAAGGGTTTTTTTTCATTTTTTGGGGAGTTTTTCCTGTGCCGATGGTGGGTTTCGGGGCAGAGGATGTCGTATGTGTACAGACTGTAAAGCCCTCTGAGGCAAATTTGTAATTTGCGATTCTGGGCTATACAAAATAAAATGACTTGACTTGACTTGACACACACACACGCACACACGCACACACGCACATGAATGTACATAAAAGAGATAAAAGCAACCACACACTCACCGACATCTCTAATGAAGTTTTGTGGCCTGTGCCCTGTGTCAACAAAGTGCTGACAGTAGTCATTGTGAGGGTTCAAGCTCTGTGTGCCCTGAAAAATAATAAATCAATGAATGGAGATTATTATGGCAGTATGACAAATCTGTTTGGATTTGGAAATAACAATCTGTAGGGCTTTGGCCGCCATAACACAATTCCACCTGCTGAATGCAACCTGTGTTACAGCTTTGGATTAGTGTTTATCTCACTGTTTGATATGAATACTGATCCACATCTGATAATCAGACAGTAAAATATTGATTATTTTTGAGTCATTCAAAATCAAGAAATGTCAAAGGCTTTAATACTGCAGTGAACCATCATACCAGTCAGTGACTGAATTATAGAAATGTAACTAAATATCTAGATTAAAGCCTCACATCCAAATTCAATTGTTTGGAAGTATTTACTGTAGTTGATCCTGGTGACATATTTAAGACCCAAGTTCCCATTGTTGTAGCTATGTCTCATTTTCTTTTGTAGTATTTTATTGTAATGTTGAAGGAGAGAGTTGTACAAAACGCGGCCAAATACAAACCACTTTCAAGATTTCTCCCATCAGTGTCTGTTGATATTTTCTATAGTAGCTACGTTTTACCTGCTCAACAGGCTGCAACAGCATAATTAGTGAGACGTGACATGGATGAGACATTGTGTGATTAAAAGAAGGAGGCACCAAGTTTCTAACCTTAAGAAATGTGCTTGAGTCCTTGTACACTTCTTCATATGGGTTGCTTTGATCCACCTGCGGCACCTCCACCTCCTCCTAACACATAAGACAATGAAGTTGGCATTTTCTCTATGAAAATAACCTTTATCAGCGTTTGAGACATGTGTGGTTAGCCTATGAATGCAAATGAAAAAATATTGATAGTTGATTGATAATCAAATATGAGTGAAATCCCAATCATGAAAAAGTGACTTTTGGAGATAATAATAAGGAAATATTCATAACCTCACTAGAGGTGGTAGGAATCAGGATCACAAAGTTCAATATCAAAAAGATATACAAACGTCAATTGTTTATATTTATCTATATCTTTACATCATAATGTAAAAATACCGGGGCCAAACTTCCTTAGGTCAGTATTGTAAACATTTCGATCTGGTTTAAATATTTAAAAAAAACCTGTCCGACTTGGTTTCTAAGACAATGACCTAATTTCTTTTCCTTAGCATGGAAACCGACTACGGTACACAGAAGATCGCTAACAACGGGACTTACCCGGGCCGCTTACATAGATCAGTATCTCTGTTGCCCAATACTTGAAGACTGTGTAGCGTAATTCAAACACGGACATTAATTCAATTTGTATTGGCAGTTTGACGTTGTGAAACTATGTGTGCATTACTTGTACTTTGCAATGTCACTGAAATGTAAAGAAAACAGAGCTGAAACAGTGTATGAGGTTTCTTTAACTCGTGTAGATTAAGATTGCTCACCTTTTGTTCTTCCACATCTTCCTCTGTGTCCTCTCCTTCCTGTGCTTTCCTTTTGGACGGTGCCGCTGAACTGTCAAAAGAAGACCTGCAAATCACAAACATCAGAAACACATTTCCAGACTCTGTGATCTCACTCAAGTTCAGACAGAACATTTCAGTCCTAACAATGACAAGACAACCGGCGAGCGAGATGGACAAATATTTACATAAATACGACAAAGACGACGAGACGGGGGTGGGGAATGTTACAAAATTAGTGAATTTATTATGTTCAATATCTGCACAAATACGGGCACCAAAAGTAATAAATAACATGCAATTAAGTCAATTTGATCACGCATTGGCAAGTTTTTTTTAGTTTTTTTGTACTCAGAAGAAAGAGCCTGCATAGCGCACAGAGCTCCGGTCTTGGAAAATGTTACATCCTGTCAAGTTCAAATTAAAAGGGGAACATACAGTTCCATCCAAATAGTAGACACAGCACAAATTGTGAAACTTTTATAGCTCTCATAATGCTCAGAACCACTACATACACATCCGTGCTAGTCACAGTGTTACATAAACACTGGCTAATGGGTGTCGAAATGTTGTCTGGAGCGCCATATTTTAAGAGACAATAGCCTAAACGTAGAGGTGTGGCTGGGATGAGCAATGTTTGTAATATCAGAAAACGTCAGTGTAATAGTAGACCTCCAGTTACAATATGGTAGGTAGATTGAATGCATATGTGTGTATGCTTGATCTCATTTTAATGATACACCATAGCTTCAGTTTTAAAGACAACATAAAAATACATTTTTTTTTAGTACTATATTAATTTAGCAAGTTTATGCTAGTTCATTTCTTATTTTTTCAGGGTATTGGTGTGAGGGGTAATGCATTTACTGGTATGTGATTTACTACATGATTCACAAAATAGTACATAAGATGAAGACCGCCGTCATTGTTAAGATGACGACAACATACTTTACGCACAAACTAATTCATTATGAACATAATGTGAAATGAGTTTTGTGGCATTATAGATTATTTTTTTTTATTTTTTATTCTAACTTAGTTATTTTAAAATGCATCTAGTTTCACCAGAGTGCTACACGTTGATGGTGTACAGGTAGAGGTTTGGCTGGGATGAGCAACGTGAAGTGACATTGTTTGGGTTCAAAACTAAATGTAATCATTTCATCATTACTGTGTGCAATATAATGAGCCCATGTGTATGCTGTGTTTTATTGAGGTATTACGTCATATCTTACCTGCATGTTTCTCTAGTCTCCTCTATTTCCTTCAGTTCATCTTTACTGTTTAGGACAGCTCCGATGCTGTCTGCGCTTTCGGCTCCCAGCTGTGGTTAGACAATAAGAAGAAAGCCAGTGGAATGTTACATATTTTCAAATGATGGTATCGTGTCCTCTGATAGATTTTTACATCCAGTTATATAGCAGATTCAACTATTCTCTCGAGAATAATGGTCGATAATACCTCACACTTGTGGGAAGTATATTTTTTTCTCGGTTATTCATTTGTCAAGTTATTCGAACTGAAATGGTGCACGACGGTGTAATTTGTGTTCATTGCATTTGCTCGAAATGCTTCACCGCGTTAATGTTACGTTAAGCGTTTTTGTTACAGAAAAGACGTTTCCATGAAATCCACTCGACGGTTCCAAGTGTTGGCCGAAGATATGCCAGCTGTTTTATCATCCGTGTGTGCGACAGAACCAATTGTGCTCATTTGCACATGTTAACTTGAAAGGTAACTACATGCTAACAACAAGAGGCTAACTCTCCACTTGCCTGTTGAGCTAAAAGCTGCCGCCTAAGTTTTTGTCGCTCGCGGATCTCTTGCAGTCGACTGTTCATGTCTTTGGTTGTAACGGTGTCTCGACAACGCTAACTGTCTAATGCACGTGGGCTTTGGTGCATCGAAGCTTTTTATATAAATGCAATCGCTGCTTTTCCGTAACGTGGGACAACATCGGCCGATGTCTAATAGCCGCTTGAAATCACGATGGGTGTGCTCGTTATGGCCACCTGGGTGCTCGGCTTCAATTTACGGCCTTGGCGTATAATTAAAACATGCGCACGATACCCCGCTGTAACTGTTCCACGGTTGTAGTCTCAAATCAGTTAGAGATTTTGCACTCGCAACAAAGTTTGCAGTGCGGTTGGAAGGGGTCCATCGGCAAACGGAGTTTATAGAGCGTCTACACCGCCAATCTGGACGACTTCCGGGGGCTGCCGGCTACATTTAGGAGTGCATACTTCTGGCATGAATGGACGCGGCGTGTTGACGTCATAATGTAGGACGCTTTAGTTTGACGTTACCAAATCCCTCCTCCAATCAGATACTACCATGAGGGAGACGCAGCACTAGACGAGCTCTTTGGTTCCGTCTCATTCTGTCGCTGATCGCCATTGTCAGTGCATTGACACAGAAAGAAAGACATGCCGAGATTTACACAATAATTACCGATTCACTACTGTTCTGCTGAAATGAACCGAATCATATCAGTTGTGCTTAACGGATGTGGCTACAATCAAAACATGTGTTTTAAATGTCCGAGCTAATGTTCCTAGTAAAAGTGTTGTTGACGTATGGATCCATGTGAATATATTGTTACTGGGTTCATGCTGTGAAGATTCGTGTTGAAGGACGTTGTCTGAGGATCAAAAGGCAGAAAGCAGGTCGACTGCAACAAAAGTATCAAGTAAAATCAACCGACTAAGTTTGGTTTTGGGCAGTTTTTGGGCACTGCCGTGTTGCCTGAGCAATGTTATTATATGATCATTATAAGGAAAATACTTAATACTATACACTGCTTATAGCTAAGTATCACATGATATTGGATGACCACCCCTCACACACACACCCCTCCCTCCTTTACTCTCTGCACATTTGCTTTATAAAACAATATGACTTTGTTTCAGTTTAACTTTTTTTAAATCAAATAGCCCCGTATAATTTAAATGGGGGGAAAAGCCCATTATAGGAGGAAATGACTCCAATATTTGGATTATTGGTGGAGGGCTGATCGGCCAGCAGCCCACGCAAATGGGAGCTTTATTGATCCGCGTCGTTTCTCCTTTCCCGGTTCTCACTCTCGTCCCACGGCAGGTCGATCGGGAGGGGGGGTGCTGACTACAAACCGCCTCTTCAAATGATGATAGAAGCTGCCGAGGATTCAGGCATCGTTCCTCCCTGCAGACAAACCGGAGACCAAACATGCATGCGGGATTCATCGCTTTATTAACAGCCGCGCTTTTGGCCCCGGACAGCGTCTTCTGTTACCCCAGCAGCGCCCCTTCATTCATCCGCCCGTTCACCGACTGCATTCAGAGCCGTGGGAAAGGCGGCTTCTACCGGGGAGCCATGGACGTCACCGAGTCCGGCGCCCGGTGCATGAACTGGACCGAAGTGGACGGCTTCACGGAACGCCACCCGGGCAAGGGAATAGGGGAGCACAGCCGGTGTCGCAACCCGGACGGCAGGATTCGACCCTGGTGCTTCTTCAGGAACCACAAAGGACGAGTGGACTGGGGATACTGCGACTGTAAACAAGGTAAACACGCAGGCCCGTTGCCACAGGCCACCCCCGTTGTGTCGGTTCTATAAATAATGCAGTCTGATGACAGTTGGGTTGGGTTTGGTGTGCAACTGTCGCAACTTATCTAGTTCCACCCTTAAATAATTACACATGGCACATCTAAAATGTCTCAGGTGTAAGGTGGAATGTCTATCCACTTTTTTGTGATTTGTTTGACCATTTCAATACCCATTGCATTTGGGAATTTGGGAATTGTATTCTTTATTATCTTTTTAACGCCTGTTTTTCAGTAGAAATATGTAACAATAAAAAACACAACCAGAAGCAGATTTTTATTTTTTTTCCAAAGCAGTTGTAATGTTTTGTTTGGCATTTACCCTTTTTTGCATCCCGACTTTGCCCCCCAGTTCTGCCCCATTCAGTGCTTTCATGGTGCGCCTATACAACACACTGCCTATACATTATCAAATAATAATCTCTTTTGTGTCATATTGCGTCCCCCCTTTTTGTGTGTGCTGTATTATCAAACATCTGCTGTTCTCCCGCCTTCTTTCCAACCCAGGCTCTGTGCGTCTGCAAGGGGGCCGCTCCAAGCTTGATGGCAGGGTGGAGGTCTACCTGGGAGGAGCGTGGGGGTCCGTCTGTAGCGATGACTGGGGGGACGTAGACGCGGCAGTGGTTTGCAGACAGCTGGGCAAGGGGTGAGAGAGCGCACCTGCGCATGCAAGTTTTTTGCCGCTCTCCCTCTGCCCCTTTTACACGCCTGTTCCAGACACCGGTGCAACTACAATCCCCAATCTGTCATCCACATTCACAATGTGAAGCGGTCCACAGGGGTCTGACCAAAGGCGAGAGTGTAAAGGAATTTTGTGTGGTAATGTAGGAGTGTGTCTGTGTCACTTCTAACACAGACATACACACGCATGCACTCTTTCCACAGTCCTTTTCTTGTGTGACCCTTGCATTCCGATCCACCACCTCACTCCCCTGAGGCACTTAAATACATTCAGTGCTCCGCAATTTACCCTGTAAGCAGCTCTCACTTTGCCTTTGTTTCTTTCTCACACACATACATATGTATACACACGGACGACTGTGTCTCATGTTCTTCAATTTGGTTTCGTGCCGGAGGAGCAAAAAAAAAAGCGTATTGTTACACTGAAGGACAGAGACGTTCCGTTAACATGCTGCAGGTGTTGACACTGACCTCAGCGTGGACACGCATGCTGACACAAAGACATGCCCGCGTGTGCATATGCACACAGGAGTCAAAGAAAACCGTCAGCGTATAGGAAAGAGGGCAAATGTCAGACAGATGTCAGATGGAATGTTTGGTGATGATTTTCACATGGCCAGTTATTGAAGCTGACCGCTTTGGCCCTGGAATGGCAGATGGCGAGCATACAGATGGACGAGGGTTACTGCTACCAGACCTTAATGGCTGCTGCACTTCTTCCTCTGAGATGGTCCGGCTTTCGCCTAATCATTGAGTGATTAGTGTCAAGAAACTTTAGTGAGGTTACATTTTTCTTGAAAATTGATATTACATAAGACTGGAGAGGAGAAAAATGTGTTTCAGGGGCTTCCTGGTAGTTTACCATGTAAAGTGCACATAAAACATTTATCAAGGCTCTGACTCCAGCCAGTGTCAGCACAAATATTTCATACTGGTTATAATAACTAGTTTACTTTTCGACCCCTTACCAGGATCTCCGGTCGTGCACGCGAAGTTCCCCTGTTTCGTCCAAGCATGGTCAAACTCCATTGGAGGGCGGTCCATTGCCAGGGAGAGGAGGCAGACCTGCTCCAGTGCCCTAAGACGACGTGGAATGGAGGGGAATGTCCTCTGGTCGCTGCCATCGCTTGCATGCAAACACAAGGTACACATTCCTCACAGTGAATTCTTGGTCTGCGATGGATGGACAGAGGTTTGCAGCATAATGACATCTGACGACTCTGAAAGGCTTTATGTTTATGTTCTGAATGCCAACTAGTGGGGATTGAATTAGAATATGTGATAACATTTTAATTTTTAAATATTTTTTCAGCAGTAGTGGCGCTCCCTATACGGCTGGTGGGAGGGCATTCACAGTCGGAGGGCACAGTGGAGGTGTTCCATGCCGGTCAGTGGGGTTCCATATGTGATGACCAATGGGACGACAGTGATGCAGAAGTGGTGTGTCGACAGTTGGGGCTGAGGTGAAGAGGCATATACTTAATGTTCATATTCAGATTAATACTAAGCAGTAATTAGCATCAATTATAAAACATTGTGAGTATGAGAAAAAGTGGAAAAATGTTGAGATAGAAGTTAACATGAGCTAGTGTGGGCGTCCAGTCGGGTGTCCCTCCATCTGTCTGTGTAAGAGAATGAGAAGTATTCTTTCCATTCGAAGAGAGAAGAGCAAGCAAGCAGTAAAGAACATCTGGGGGTCAGACAATGAATCAGGCTCATTGTTCCTGCATGAATTCTGGTACCACAGAGATATGCATATTTAGCAACACGCTCGGCCAATGCTTGTGTGTCCATTTTGCGTCTATGCCACTGTATTTTTAATACTATTGGATTATTCCATTCAATATCCACATTACTTAAAACAAATGCACAAGTCAGTGTGTCTATTTTTCATTGTATCAGTATTACTACACAAGCCAAAGCCTTCTTCCGTGCTTCTATGTCCTTTGTAGCGGTGCAGCAAGGGCCTGGGGCCAGGCACATTTTGGCAAGGGTTCAGGTCACGTGTTGCTGGACGAGGTGCGTTGCACGGGCAATGAGCTCACTCTGGAGCAGTGTCCAAAAAGTGCCTGGGGGGAACACAACTGTCTGCACTCTGAAGATGCAGGAGTGTCCTGCAACCCTCTCACAGGTAGAACAAGAACCCAAGAACTTGGTGTACACGATCCATAACATTCACACAGTTCACACATATTGATGCGAAACCACCTCGAAACCACAAAACCACCTAGAGCAATCATTTAAGTTATTATCTCTACCTGGGCCTTTCCTGTTATGACTCGTCAAAAAGATATGGTATAAGCTATTAGTCTCAGGAGGGGGAACAAATCAAAGACCCTTTTCATAAGGGTCCGAAGGGGAAAGGCATCAGACGGGGGCTTTGGGGAGAGCTCATGGTGTATAGACCTTTACATATAGTGGGTGACTATACTCATCTGTGTGGTTTCACCACCTACAAGTAGAGGATCAAGAGTATGGTTCGTTGCTAGGTGACCAATGTAGGAAGGTGGAAAGCTTTTTAAAGATCAATAGCAATAACTGAATCTTGTTGGGATTAAAAAAAGCTTCATAAGGATGTAAAGCCAGTAAAAAATCCAAACACGCTCATTAGCTCACTCTGCTTCTCTCTGTCCTTATCCCCAGATGGTTCTGTAAGGTTGTTAGGGGGCACGAGCAGATACGAGGGGCGCTTAGAAGTCTTTTACCGTGGTCACTGGGGAACCGTGTGTGACGATGGCTGGACAGACTCAAACACGCAGGTCGTTTGTCGACAACTTGGTTACAGGTAATGTGCTCATGTACGCAGCGTACACACCACAATATATCAACATTAATAAACAGAAAAAATACGAGCGCTTGTGGGTGTGTGTACCTGTCTACCTCTACCAGGTTAGGTGAGACTCTCCTCTCCAAAGGACTGGACATCAAACCAGTCCCACGCTTCGGGGTCGGGTCGGGTCCCATTCTTTTGGACGACGTGAGCTGCACGGGGAAAGAGCCCGGCCTGCTCCTGTGCAACAGGAAGGAGTGGCTCCGTCACGATTGCACACACCATGAAGACGTTAACGTCAAATGCAACCCTGATCGCATCGGAGAGAGTCTTCCAACAAGTAAGATGCAATGAGACTATAGATGCTTACAGACAGCAGAGAAACCACAAAGAGGCTGGTTGTAGCATTTAAATGTTGTTTATGTATTTAATGAGATATTAATAGTATGTAGTATTATTATATTGCATATGTAAGGCAACGACTTGCTCTTTCTCAAAAACTCGCAAATACCCCATTCAGTAAAATATAAATTCCTCATCATTGCTATACAGAATGTTTTGTTTCCCAGTGGTTCAGGATGAAAAGATTATATCTATTTCACCTGTGTTGTTGAAATGATCTATATGTAGCCTACGTGTAATCCTTTCAAGTAAAAGAAAAGCCCATTTCCTTTTTAAGATCCAGTTGGAGACGATAAAACCCTATTTTAATATCTCTGCACTGGTTACTCGTTTTTTGTAGTTGGTTTGAACTTCTCAAAACGCTTCAAGCTCCTAACTACTGACCTTTAACCCCCTTTCAGCTGAGATCTGCCTGAGATCCTCTGGTAGTTCCTCTTTAATATTTCAGAGGTGGAGACTAAAAACAGTTTGACATCTGGGTCCCTCAACTCTTAAAATCCTTTTTTTTAATCAGCATTGAAAAAGAACTGCATATTTCTGCATATTTTCTGAAAAATAGATTTTTTAGACGTTTTGTATGAATATGAAAACAACTATCACAAATTAATAATTCTATATATCAGTAATAGTAGTAGCTTAAAAGAAAGCATGCATACTTTAAAGGTAGTGAAAAAGGTAGAACAGCCATGATGTCATTTCTATCACTTCATGAAACCCGGTAATGGAAGTGCAAGCTGATCTGAAATCTGTCGCTGAGATTTGCCTTCAATTTGATCTCATCCCACTGGCACGAGTGAAGCCAACATTCTCCAACCGACATATAGAGGATGATGTGAGTCTTAACTGTAATAGGCACAGATGTTTGTTGGCTTTTGCTGCCTTTGTTCCTGCGACGCTTGTAAAGTCGTCATGATTAAATGGATCTACTGCAAACTTTTACCCTAAAGTACGTCTTCTTCAGGCCCCAACTGCAACAGCGTAACTACCACATGCCAGTGGACAGAGATGTTCCCACACACACACACACACCACTGCACATTTGACCATTTTTATAAGAGTAAACAGAAAGGTTAAGTGCGTTTACTTCTAGCTGAACGAGGGAGAAAGCGGGAAATGGCAGCAACATCAATCAAGCTTTTATATATATAGCCTCTAGACAGCCATAAAGATGCATAAGCAAAGAGCTGAATGGAACCACTAGTGGCTCAGATGTCTCCTCATACTGTATAATGGTTTTATAATGTGAACGGATGGGTGAATAGATGTGAGTCTGGTGAATATCACAGACATAATACATCATAGTTGTATTGATAGTGATGATAAGGTGTTTTCAAGTAGCTCAGAGGAGTGGCACTGCACAAACAATCTGAAGAACAAGTGTCGTAACGCCGTGACGTTTGTGTGCCTTTGTTTGAGTGTTTGTGTGTACACAAATCCCTCCGTCCCGCTCGACATGCTCCAGGCAGATTAGTTAATGTTTTTTTTGGAAAGGGAGACGAAGCAGATAAGCCGGGCTTTGCTTTGAACTTTCCCTCTCTCACACACACACAGGGAGACCATTGCATCAAGCTTGTATCAGAGCAGAAATTGAACGTGTGTGTGCTGAGACGGAAAAAAAAGTGTTTGTTTTTCTAGGGGAGCGACAAAGATGAGCATTTTTCCATAGCAAACACCAACAAAGAAGTAAACATTCCCATAATGAATTGTCCCTACCTTGATCCCCGTCGCACAACTCTTATGTGCCACACACACACACACAAACCGTTCAACCCAACACAATGTTTGAGCTACAAAACACAGCAACTAACTTTACACACTATAGTAATATAATTCACAAGACCTTGCCTGAGTGTAAGCTGATCCTGAAATTTCCTGCAGGTGGAAAAGACATCAGCATTCTCGTAAATGCGGTTAGTGTGTGTGTGAGTGTGCACTGTATATGTGTGCATGGGTTTGCATCTGGGTGCAGACAAATTATGATGAATTCTGTGTGAATATAATGTGAAAAGGATGTGAAAAAGGGCAATACAAACAGCTCATGTTCTCATTCACTGGACATGCTAGCCTGGAGGATCAGGTTTTTTTGTGTATGCGTGTGTCTTCAATTATTTCTAGTTTCAGGATTTTCTGGTTAACATCAGAGAACAGAAATAAACCTGTGCTAGCAGCATGAGTGTATGCTGTCGGTCACAGTTTTTGCGCGTGTGCGTTCTTCAGGTGTGCCGATGAGGCTTGTGGGAGGCGAGAGCCCGAGAGAAGGCAGAGTGGAGCTCTATCTGTCTGGACAATGGGGGACTGTGTGCGATGACGGATGGACTGATCGTGACGCCGAGGTGGTGTGCCGACAGTTAGGATACAGGTTTGTATGTAAAACTTTCAGTTTGGAGAGATGGGGGCGTTTTACGGATTCAACAATTTTTCTCTTAATCGATTTACTACTGGGGAACTTTACATTTGTCAGAAAGAAGTGAAAAATCCCAATTACCTAAACATGTTCAGTTTTCTACAAAAGGAGGCTGAGACAACCTGGGATCATCAGTGTTGGACTTTTCTTGCTTCAGAACGGAAAAGATGAGAAGTGAATTTACTTTAACAGCACAGTTGTGGCATTGCAATGTGATCACTATACATTTCACCTCCTTAAGTGAACCCAGACTGCCTCTGTTTGCAAAATCAGTCCCCGCTTCTTAAACTCGGCATCTGTCTTATAGACTTGCTCCCGCTTTCTCTGTCCGTCCTTCATCTCTCAACCCTTCTGTTTCCAGTTAGCACCTCATCATGCACATCTCAAGTTTCGAGCAGACCTACAACAAAGAAACTAAAGTACTGTATGCTTTGAATGGTTAAAGATTATTTTATTTTATTAATCAATCTTTTAAATTGTGCACTCCAGTTTGTGAGCTCTCCTGATCCTGATACCCTCTGGTGTGCTGCCAGCTGCCTTTATTAGGAGTGTTGGTTCACCCCTTTTGCAGAGCCAAGATAAGCATCCAATTAGAGGGCAGGCTAATTGTGCCTGTGACGCATTCACAGTGACATACATGGTGAAGGAAAGCTAACTACCTCATCCCATTCTCTCGTGTACAATTATCCTCCCCATCCCCTCCCCCCTGATGTTCAAATTTCCAAAACATTGGCAATGGGATGACAAAAGATAACTGGACTGTAATAAACCATGTTCATGTCGTCTCTTATCACAGAAAACTGTGAGGAAGCCTTTCATTCATTCTTCAGAGGACTCATACCTCCTCCTCCCATTCTTCAGATTTCTAGTCAGGCAAAAGTCCCAGGTCCCGCAGACGCATTTCCGATATCTTGCACGCTTAAAAAACAGTATTGGTCTTCGGTCTTGTAGTAAAACCACACAACTTTAAGACTCACGACTACGACACAAGTTGTGTCGTGTGTGCGGTTCAGCAAGCTTTTAGCCACGCCGATTTTCTGTGACACATCTGTGTGTAAATGAGAGCCACATCTGGAAGACATAAGCGTGAGAGAGAAGGAGCGTGTTGGAGGCACGTAAAAGGCCTGTACGGATCATCATTCTGTCTCACACAGGGTGTGGTGAAAGGTCATTACATAAACAAGTGTTCCCCAAGGGTTAGAGGTCGCTCCGGGGGTAATAAAACAAAATAAATCACAAATCAGCTTTCACAGGCAAATTATCTTTATATACAACGGTTTGACGTAGAGTTGCCTTGAATAAGAAGAAAAACGTGCACGTTGGGCATTTTTAAAATTGTTTTAAAGCCTATGATGGGGACTGGAATGCTCTGAACAATCTTTCTACCAATAACCTGAGAACTTTGACTTGGAAGCAAGGTGGCTTGTTTGTCTAACTACAGCCATTAATGGTATGTTTCTGCAAATGTGTCAAAGGGCGATATTGCGACGCAGGACACAAGGTATGTTAAAAGGGCTTGATCTTTTCTAAAAAAAACAAAGAATAGATTCAAAGAAATTCTCAGGAGGACGGAGGAAAAAAGGGAAAACATAAAGGCAGACCTTTGTAACTCGAGCATGGGGCATCCAAAACAGGCTGTGTTACATTTCTCACATAGGTTGCGTTCTTTTGTGTGCGTACACGTTCTTTTGTGTGCGTACACAAAAGAACGGTTTCCTGCTTTGCGTGTGAAGTACTGCTTTGGGTGCTATTGGAGACGAAGACACAAGACTAAATGTCTCAATCAGAGAAACGAGTGGGGACGCAAGACCTGCGAACCTGTTAAACCCCAGAGACGCAACCTAAGATCCTGTGAGTCGGTTATCTGTAAATCTTAATTTACACCACAGTTGCAGCCTATGCAGGGACACATAACCTACAGTCTCACGTGTTAGCTGTTTGCTAACTAAAATTCCACAGATACTTTGTGTTATCAGATTGTAAAAGTTGTTTGACCGGTGTGGCGTCAAAGACAGATTATATCTCATAACATCCAGAAAAAAGTCATTCCCTATATGTTTTCACAAGAAGACAAAAACATGTTTACGGCATTTATTAAACTCAGTAACACAAAACAATAGTTAATGTGGTCAAATCAGAGAATGGATTTTTTTCAAATCAAATTAACAACGCAAAAAATATATACACATACTTACTAAATATACATACTAAAAAAGTAAGGCAGTAAGCACATTAATCCAGTGCGCATACTGTTTTTGGAATGTTGATGTGTTTGAATATGTTGTTGTCCTGCTCTTTTTACATTCAATGCTTTTATTGAGTGAAAAAAAAAATGTTGTTCAGTTTGTTTGGTTTCCAGCTTTAATATGAAGTACTTTGTAAATGACGTATAGTTTAAATATTTTTTTCCGGTCTAACAACATGTGTCTTCTGGGTCCTTTCCTTCCTCAGTGGCGTGGCAAAGGCCCGCGTGATGGCGTACTTCGGGGAAGGGACAGGGCCCATCCACGTGGACAATGTGAAGTGCAGCGGCGAGGAGCGTTCGATAGCAGATTGCATCAAACAGCCACCCGGAACACACAACTGTCGCCATAGTGAGGACGCCGGAGTCATCTGTGACTATGGGGAATTGCAGACCAGCTACAAAGAGGTCAAAGGTCAGGTAGCTCTGTTTTTTTTGTTTGTTTTTTACTCGAAGCTCTTGTGATTGATTTGGAGCATTTAAGTGTGCACTGAGAATGAGAATAATGTGCTTAGCAAAGATTTGACTTATCTTACATACACTGAAGAACGAATGGGAAGCAATTACGAAAAGCCGGGAGAGGAGAAACCGACAGAAAAGCGAACAGTGCTTCAGTTTGTGCGAAGCCAGATGGTAAAATGGAGATGGCGTTGTAATTGCTGCACCCTGTCTGTCACAAAATACTACTCATTACCTGCACATATGCTGTTACCTTCATTCCTCACATCCACGTACTGCAGAACGTCAGACCAGTGCACGTGTGTTTTGTCGCCTCAGTACAGGAACTAGATCTTGGAAAAACGTTTAACCTACACACATAATATAAAAGTCACCCTCACCATTTATTTATCTAGCTGTATTTCAGGTTCATATTCAGTATTAGTGAAAGATTTCAAGCAATGTTTTTTCTTTTTAAAGGAGTCTAAATATTTAACATGAGCAGCATCTGAGCCCAAATGTATGGTTTAACGATGATCACTCTCCTACACACTCACATACACACCGCTCATGGCTCCTCTTTTGTTGCTGTCAGATCCTGTCAACTCAATTTGTGGTCTGCGGCTCATACACACTCGCCAGCGGCGAATCATAGGAGGAGAAAACTCTCTGAGGTAAGCCGGCTCGAAGGGACAGGAGGGATACATGACAGATCTGAGAAACGTAGAGAAACAGGAAATTGGACATATTTTCAAGCCCACAGATCTGAGTACCCCCCCCCCCCCCCCGAAAGTAATCACAATGAAAATTAAAAGAGAAACAGGCGTACACGGCCGATACAGAAAAAGTCACTGAACAAGAAACTCCATGGTTTTGACTTCCTCAGTTTTGCTTTATGGGTCTGCTTATGTTACATGTGGGGAAGATAAATAGAGAGAGAGAGAGAACAGTCAGAGAAAAGCAACATTAATGTTTATTAGTACGCAACTGACAGTTGGCGCCTCATGAATGTGTTTGTGTGTGCGGATGTTTACACTTTGTATAGCTATTTCTGCTCGCCAGGTATGTTTAGTGTCCTTCACACATATCGCGTTTGGATAGAATTCCTCTTGAATGTCCAGGTGCACTTTTAGAATTCCCCGTGTGTTCATGTGTGCGCGTCTTGGTGTGCGCTGGTGCCTCTAGGGGTGGCTGGCCGTGGCAGGCTGCGGTTCGACTGCGAGGATCTCGAGGGGACGGGAGGTTGGTGTGCGGAGCGACTGTCATTGATACCTGCTGGGTCCTCACCTCGGCTCACTGCTTCAAAAGGTCAAACGCACACACACACGCCTACACAACGACGTCCGCTTACACACACGGATCACAATTTGAAAGGCCATGTTCAACTTTTTAAAGTCACTTCATCTCGTGGTCATTTCAGGTCCAGTATGGAAATAATGACGTACCTTCCTTGGTTCATAGGGGCCTCAAAAGAGGCAACACAAAAAGTGTGTTCCCTCGCGTCCAGGTCACCGTGCTTTCCAACACGCCCTCAAGGCTGAACAGACGGCATTTTCCTCTGTCAGCGTCAGTTATCGCCCTGTTAGGTGTGGTGGCATTCCACAAATTGTCATACGCACTTCGATAGATATATCTGGCAATGATATAGTGCTCCTAACACACCATTAACCCCCCTCCTTTTAAAGCTGCTTTCCTGAAGTGCAAACACACACGGATCTACCTTTTAAGTTGTCTGTTTGGATTTGTTTGAGGTTTGAAGTCATCTTTATTCAATAAAATGTAGGTGTACATATGGATAGATTTCCCTCTGCCTGCAGTGTTAGTATCATCCAGTATTTTTGAGGCTGACGTAGGAATGAGAAACTCAACAATGCAAGCAGCAGTCAGTGGGTTGCACGCAGCATGGAGAGCAAAATTTGTCTGGTCTGAGGGCCGCCGCATGGCACCCTCTGAATGAAATCAATCTCTTAATGCATAGAGCAGAGAAGCCATAAAGAAATAAACAATGACTGAACAGAGAGAAACACATTTGGTGAGAGCTGAAGAAGTTAACGGTTGTTAGGGGACGACCCCCTGAGCCTGCCTTTTAATATTTATACAGGACATGTGCTTTTGTCAGACTTCATTTTTAGGATAATATATTTACTTATGCTACCAAGTATTAGTTTCAACATTTGGGTTTGGGAAACGTCTTTTCCGGCCCCGTTAACTCTAAATTATGGGAAATAAAATTCCACATTAAAGAGAAGATGAGGTCATTTCCTAAATCTTTACTAGTGCCATTTATCCAGCCATTCCAGGGGCCACAGTTTTAATTCTAGTGCACGGACCTCAACTCTGCCATCTGATTTGTACACCTCCTTCATTCAAACGACACACACAGAAAACAGACACCTGTGCTGTGCTGCAGAGAGAGACCACTGGGGATCTGAACAACTAGGACTGATTTACGGAAACACTGCAATTAGTTGACCGCAAGTGTAGTTGCGTTAATTGACATAAATCATTTTGAAGCTTTACTAACAATGGTAGGTGATTTAAAACTCCACCGTTGGTACTATAATAGCCACGATAGTTATTCTCAAACATCCTTAACTGTTTGTCTTGTTGTTTAATGCTTCTTGCTTCTGCAAGAGTAAATCAATGACAGGCTTTATCCAAACATATTACTTACTGTATATGTTATGGTTGTGCTTCATATGCCAGGTGCTCACACTACCATACAGAAGGGGTTTCAATGATTCACATTAGAAATGTACCTGTAACAATCAATTCAAATTTACATTCTCTTTCAAAAGTAACATGTTGCCTTGTGCTGTAAATTCGAAGAGTTATTTCTGGTAGACTTTTTATTTTGCTCAAGGATACTCAAAGATGTTTTTAGGTGTATGTGAGAGGTTTGTTATTTGAACCATTGAAAGCAGACTGTCAGGAAGGCGCGTTGTAGGCGGGACTCAAACACAGACTTCAAAAACAAAAGACTTTAATGGTCAATATCCCAAAATCAAAGGCCAAGGGGGCAAAACGCAGGAACTCACAGGGTTGCCGATTTCACAATGACTCCACAAGTGACAAGAGACACACGCGGCTTAAATACACTATGGAGGTGCAGGTGATTGGACACAGGTGGAAACAATGAGACAATCACAGGGGATGACAGGACAAGGGCAGAAAGTGAAGTTACCCGGGGAGATAAGAGGCAGAAAACAACAAGACAGGAAACAAACCCAAGCCGTGACACAGACAGTAAAAAGTATACATTTTCAGCGCTCCAAGCTGTATCGGTCGTGACAGCTCTGCAATTTGCAGCATGCAGACCGAGACAAGAACTTCCGACTTTAGATTGTCACCTTTCTTATATGATAAAAAATGTAGACTGTAACGCGTAGAAGGAGTCGAACCCCATACACCAAATACATCAACAAGCTAGCATCTCTTCTTTCTCTAAATTGCACAGATGACGCGATCATGATACCTTATCCCTTGAACTGGCATTACCATTAATAGGTTCATAAAATATGATCACAGGCCAGTGCCGAGACACTGCATTTTAAACCTATTTATACTTTCCTGCTGTACACCTGGTAGCAGACCAACAGTAACACCTACAGCCGATTTCGGAAGTGTTATAACAAAAAAGTCTGAGAGGTAACTTAGATCCTCAGACTTTGCCCTTCATAGTGCGTATGCAAATGCCTGGCATTCCCACGTCAGGAAATCGTTCTGCAAACACTCTCCCAGTTGTAACTTGAGACAGACACTCGGTTCGATTAAAAAGGCCTCCTTCCTGCACTCCTCTCCCCTTCATTCACACCTCTCCCTTTCCTTCTCTCCCTTCCTCTGACCTAAGCGGAAAAACCTGTATGTGCTCAGTGTCAGTGCTCGTACTTTTTCAAGCTCCAGATGAACTATTGTGACCCAGGCCAGAGCTCGTAATCTTCCTCCTCAGCTTTTCATTGTGACCAGTGGGGTTGCTCACTGACACACACGTCTCCTGATCCATCCCTGTATTTATCCCTGCAGGTATGGAAACAGCACCAAGCAGTATAAAGTTAGAGTGGGTGACTACCACACCCTCGTCCTTGAGGAATACGAAGAGGAGTACGGCGTCGATCAGATTGTCTTGCACCCCAGCTACCAGTCCCATAGCAACGATTACGACCTGGCCTTGATCCGCCTGTCACCGGGGGCAGTGGGCCAGACGCTGGGAGAGTGTGTGTCATTCAGCCGTCATGTTCTTCCCGTCTGCCTGCCCGCAAGGAAAGAGAGAGTGCTCAAACAAGCCAGCAACTGTCACATTACCGGCTGGGGTGACACTGGTGAGGGCCTGTGTGTTTGTCTGTGTGTGTGTGTGTGTGTGTGTTTTGTGTTTGTGTGTAGAGGGGAAATGGAAACTGAGACCCAGAGGTGCAAGACGTGACATGATTTAATTTCATCCTAGCATTTAACGTGTTAGCGCTACTGTATATGGAAATGTCTAGGAAGTCAAGAGCAGGGCAGAGAAAACATAGATGACAAAAGACGGATCCAGTAACATCTTTTCATGTTCATAATGTTGTTAATGATAATAATATAATAATCATTTTTGTAATGTTGATTTTAGCAGTTTTCACAAGCTCGTGTCATGAGCGCGGATAAAATGTCATAGTTTCATTTCATTCCTCTTCCCTGAGCCAATCTACCTTTAACCTGTCAAATCAAGTAGATTCTGTCTGCATATTTATGTTGACTGATTAAGACATAAAGAAAATGTAATTTCTGTCCACTGACACTAACTCCGATGCTCACACACACTCTTCCCCTCTACTTTCTACCTCTCATTCTAAACTTGCCTCATTTCTCAGGCCGCTCGTACTCAAAGACCCTACAACAGGCACCCCTCTCCTTGCTCCCCCGTCGTCACTGCCAGCAACATTTCCACAGCGCCTTCACAAGCCGCATGCTCTGCGCCGGGAGCATCCAGTCAGAGAGGCGTGTGGACAGTTGCCGTGGTGATAGCGGAGGTCCGCTGGTGTGTGAGCGTCCGGGAGGGGGTTGGGTGGTTTACGGGGTCACGTCTTGGGGCCACGCCTGCAGGACACAAAGGTCTCCCGGCGTCTACACGAAAGTCTCTGCTTTCAGCCCCTGGATACGCAAGGTGATTGGACGTGATGATGGAAAAGAGAAAAAAACTCTGAAGAAAATTGGAGACAATTAAATGCATGATCGGAGAGACTGTCATGACTTACCTGGTTAACTGGTTAGGTGAAAACTAGTACAACAAGAGACGTTAGGATTAAATTATGTGTTTCTGTTTATAAATAATTATACAGTCACTTGTTTTATCATGATTGAGAATCAGAGAGCACAAAGCAACGCTGGACTTTTTCCAAAAATATTTTATATTGGAGAGTAAGTCCTTTCACTCTTTTACTAATCTTAGTCCTGAGCACTTATTTTAATGATTTAATGTTCTTTTGAGCTGCAAGAATTTAAATAGAGTTAAATGTCTACTCAAGAAAACGGCACAAATGTGTGACAAAAATTTATTTTTGTTTTGTCTGACATTGAACAATACACTAAATTGTGTTTTTTTCACAATAATTATTTTGTTTTATTTGATTGTTTTTGCTATAAAATTATAATATACTTTATGATGTAAAATATGTGTTTAAAATGTTTTTAAAAAAGGGACCAGAAAAAAAAGTATACATTCATGCAGTCAGGGCCTTTGTGTCATAATGACGATCGCCAACGTTTGACCACTGTGCTCATTGTTTTGCTCTGTAAAAAGCTGATTTTACATCCGTGTAATTAATGTGTAAGCCGTATTCATAAGGCATCAAGCCAGTCATAATAAGTCAGTATTTGTCCTCGAACCTTTTTTCTGTGCTGCTTGACATTTGCAGAGAAAGGGAGGGACTACATTCTAAAGACTAAGGGCGTCATGTACAACGCTTTTGTGCCCACTTCAGACGTACTTGTTCCGCAACGTGGGCGTAGAAAGCACGGCGAGGTCTGCACAAACCGCACTGAGATAAAAGCGCAGACTGCCTGTCACGGGAACTGAAAAAGTAAAATTGCGCTTTTCAGTGTCACACGTGTGCATTTACGGGAGGGGAATTAGGAATTTCCCCAACAGAGATGGGAGGGGATGCGTAATGTGCGCCTAATTATAGATTCCGCGGTATGTATAGAAACCGCCCGTGAAAGGCGCGCCTTCTTTGTGAGGTAAAATTTTTTTACCTCCAAAAGCAGGTTTAAACTGGAATGGGTGTTTCCTCACATATGCCTCCTGGTGAAATGGCAGCATTAATCCTAGCTAGAAGGCGACAGGGCCGAGGTGACGAGCTGAAAGGGTTTTCACCACAAGGATCACACTTTTTCAGTTGAGTGAACACCAGATCATTACGCGTTACAGATAAAGCAGCCATGCATTTCTGCCGCACCATGTAACAGTTAGTGGAAGAAATAAAAAAAGGACGTCGCATCTCTGACTCAGCGTTCACACTTCATTCCAGCAGTCGCTCCACGCTACATTACAGTTACAGTCATAACATCAACAGTGGGAATATCTGCACAATCAACGTGCATGAGGACCTAAGTCTCTGAATCACAGCACATGGCAGCCTTTTCCTGTTTTCATTTGTTATATTGGTACAGTTGATTTGTGTACTTATGTAAAAGTCCCAGATTTGACAACACTGAATGAAGACAATCAGGTACACTTGAAAAAACTACAATGCCTTCTTATTCGATGTTTACTGACGTTATTGTTTCATGTACTGTAACATTTGTCCCCATAAATATTTTTTACATTTTTTATTTTTTGTTGTGTATTGAGGTAAGACGTCCAAAGTTCTGAGTCATAATGACTAGACGTAAAAATGTTCACTGAATGTTCTTTCGAAATTGTTGTCATTCCATCAGAGCAGACAGGCGTCTTTCTGGATTTTCAAATTGAGCTCACACAATGTGTATGCACACACACGTAAGTAGAGAAAGTCTCACTTGTTGTGGAACAGCAGGACTCGTTTACAAGGCAAACAAATCATTTCGGCCTAGATTTTTGAAGTTACTAAACTTTACTCGAGTGAGTTCAAAAGCAGCACCTATTGCAAGGAGGCATAAACACAAATCAAGCACATGGCTCTGACACATCTCTTTTTCAGCTTGGAAAAGCTGAAAAATTGAATAGGTATCCTCATATAAAATTAAACTGAGAAATAAAACTTAACTGAGAAAAGGACACTGGTCACCATCAACAGTCTGGCTTGAAAGCTGCGACCAGATGAGTTTCAAAATAAATACATGAATATTTCCTTACAACAACAACAAAAAAAGATACTGTACGTCATTACAATTTAACTGTTGATTTCCTTGACATATAAAAATGTTTTCAGCTAAAACACAGTTCTATTTTGTGAGATTCCCCTCTTGTGGTCATTATCATGTACTACAAAACATGGTTATATATAACTCTGAGGGTCGATAAAATAATAGAATTCTGGATAACATTGTAAATATAAATTAAATAATTGTAAAACATCTGAACTCTGAATATTTAAACCATTTTTCTTTATATATTTTTTGTTTTCCAATCTTCATTAATATTTAAATAATTTAACATAACTAAACCAATATCAAAGTGTTGTGCGCAAACATTGAAATAGGATGAAAAGAGGAAGTAGACTACCGTAAATAACTCTATTTAAATTCTTGCAGCTCAAAAGAACATTAAATCATTAAAATAAGTGCTCAGGACTATGATTAGTAAAAGAGTGGAAGGACTTCCTCTCCAATATAAAATATTTTTGGAAAAAGTCCAGCGTTGCTTTGTGCTCTCTGATTCTCAATCATGATAAAACAAGTGACTGTATAATTATTTATAAACAGAAACACATAATTTAATCCTAATGTCTCTTGTTGTACTAGTTTTCACCTAACCAGTTAATCAGGTAAGTCATGACAGTCTCTCCGATCATGCATTTAATTGTCTCCAATTTTCTTCAGTAGACTACCGTTGACTTTACTATTCTATTTGCTATTTCCAGTGGACCTTAAGCGGTAGCTCTCTATGCTAATGATCCTACATTAGATGTCACAAGAGATGGTTCAGAACAGAAGGTCTCATTATGCTCGGATCATTTATTTCTCCTAATATCTGTTTCATCCCTTAACTACAACATGTGGGAAAACACGTTGGGGACCATCTGAGGATAATGATTAAACCTGCCTAAGAGATTATATCCTTTTAATTTGCTTATAGAAGCACTCTTCTTGGTCAACTGCTTTTGAAAGTTTATGGAAATTGGATCTATTTTACTTTTGACTGTGAAACCTGAGTAATGTACTTCCTTTATATGTATAATCATACATATACATTTATACGTATAAATTCCTTTATAAAATAAGTGAATTTGTTCTCTTGCTCTCTGGCGAACAAAACAAAGAGAATATCAAACAAAGCTACATCCTGCTAGAAGGGACAACAACAACAACAACAACCAACCAACAACCACTAAAGAGGCTTCAGCTGCCCAACGACAGAAATATTTGTGGCCCAAGCAAACAGCGGGGCCACGGCTCATGCAGCATCTGGATCTAAACAGAAACAAGGACACCCAGTGCATGTGAGAGAGCTGTCAAATGCCCTGCGGGTGATGGATGTTTGTGTAGACTTAGACCCATCAGACAAGTTTTGGCAGTAGTGTGTGGCTGATAGATCAAAGATGTTGACAGCAACTACGTACTCTTGCTCGCTTACCAACGCCCTGTAACTATGTACTGCTGTTGGAACGTATGGGTTCACATTCTTTCCAGTCTGACTTAAAACAACAGCCTGTTGCCTACGTCAAAGCTCTTTGAAACAGGTTTTGCATTATTTCTTAATGTAAAAGTTCCTCACCCATTTCTTCTGAAGAGACATTTACGTTAAGTTAATAATAGGTGTCGGGCAACTGACGTCATCAAGTCAAGTGGTTCTTGATTTTCAGGAGTTTCGTTTTTTTTGTTTTGTCATTGTTTAGAGATCTGAAAGAATTGTGAACCCTTCCGTTAACATTACCTCAACATGTTGGTAGATAAAAATAACCATGTATATGTACTCTGCTTAAACGCATCATGTGACAAATATGAATACTAATAATAATCTCAGCTGCAGTAATTGACCAAACAAAGAAAACTGAATGGTGTTGTCTGTTATTTTGTTGTTTGTCTGTTTTGACTTGCCTCACAAGTAAGTGACAAGGTGTATGCCGCCACAATATGGTTCATCTGTGCTTCCACCGTGAAAAAAAAATCGCATGTCATGAGTAATATGCATTTCTTTTATTTCTGTTTCTGTGTTTGACATTTATATATTTTTTGCAGTCAAATAGAAGCTCAACAACGTAGGCCACTGGTTTTAAAAAAGAAAGAAAAATACTTTGATGAAACATGGACAAAACAAAAACTGCGGTAATTGTAGCTACTTAAAGAGTCTCGGAATTAAGTGTCACATCCATAAAGATCTTTTTTGTCACACACTCATGAGGCCTCAGTCCTTGGTGCCCGAATCGTCAGCGCTCATGCTCTGCTAAATGGACACAGAGTTCTTCTGCATGGTTTTTAACAGGAAAATAATGAGCGTGCAATGCATCTTGCTTTAGGGACCCATTTCTGGGCCAAAAAAAGTGACATCTCTAAAGGTGAACAACGCTACCAGATCTACCAGAAACTAGCTTCACTTAAAAAAATAAGCTCATAAAAACAATGAATTAACTTATCATGGGAATCCTGTCGATCACCCTGAGTCAAAGCACTTATCATCCCTGCTTACTCTCATTGTGACAAAAGAAACAACAACTAAAAGATAAAAAAAAGACAAACATAACCACATAGGAGGTTTCTTTTATCTTGGAGAGATAAATGGGACAGAACTTAGTGCAAAGTCATCTCTATGAGAACCACACACAGCTGACCAGCGCTGTTCTGGCATCATAAATTAGAGGTGAAAATTGAAAAAGTAATAACTATCAAAGTCGCCGCAGCTCTTCACGAGAGTTCACCCCCAGTTTTAGGGACTTTCCAAATGCTCCTTGTCCATCACGGTCATCTTCCTTTTAGTCCCACATTCTGCCGAGCTGGCAGAGTCACCTGGAGCTCTGACTCCTCCATCACACCTGTCGTCCTTCAAAGAGTTCGGCTTCAGCCCAGCTGCGTCACAGCTCCCAGGAGTGACAAGGTATCCCGTCCTAGCTTCACCTCAGGGGGGGACTAAAAGGTCACAGATGGATCATCCGAAGGGCAGGTGCTCCGGGCCTTTAACCCTGTGACCTTTAACCCTGGTTCATGGATGCAAAGGTTATCTAACCTTCAGAAAGTGGTAAAGAGAGGGCGGGGATAGAGAGGGGAAACAGAGAAGAGAGAAAGCACAGGGGGAAAGTAGTCATTTAATCCCATTTTGTTTACCGCCCCCGTTCAAATACCAACCGTGAAAAAGGAAGGAGAACACGCTGCAATCACAGCGAATGGGCTGGACAACCTAAACAGACTCGTCAAGCGGCTCCCTGTAATTCACAAGCCGTTGCAAACAGCAGAACAAATAAATCCACAGACGAAAGAAAAACTATGTTGAGCACCGCAGAAGAAAGAGGGCTGTGCAGAGATCAACTGACATGATTGGCACTTACACCAGGAAGCCTCAAGCCTCTATTAAATACAATACTCACAAGGAAGCGAGACGCATTTATGTAGCTACTCTATCCAAACGTTTTGATTTTGTTTCTTTGTAAGGTTGAGCTAACATATTTATTCCGATTCTTCGTACAAGTGAAGAACATAGAATGTTCTGTCAAAATGTGTAGCCTTCTCGTATTGTGCTTTTTCTTTCCTCTCTCACTAGTTTGTAGTGAGACAGGTTCTGTTGAAAGAGGTGATGACAAATATATTTCCATGCAACAATCAGAGGTGAACAAAATGTAATCAAAATTTGGCAACGCTTTATAAATGATGATTAGGAATATAAAAAATAAAACTATAACCGTAATTGTCCTTTGAGGTTTAGCGAGCTTTCCTGCAACAACCCGGGCCGTACAAATACCCATAGAAAAGATAAATATGACAAAACCAGTCATAAGTCCGGTTGGACGTTTTTATTTCTATTTATAACCTGAGGCTATAAGTGTCAGAGTTTAATGAACGCTGACCTTCTGCAGCTCCTCTCTGAGCCAGGAGGGGAGGGGCTGTCCGAGGCGATGCAGCAGCCTTGACAGCTCCACGTTGTGTTCCCTGTAGTACCTGGAGAGATATGCATGAGCCTGAAGAGAGAAGACAAGGTGAGAGCTAATTAGGTTAGAGCATGAGCGGAAAGGGTAGGGGAGCGAGGAAGATTGAGTGAGGAAATTAAACGTGTAAGGAAGGAGTTATTAAGTTGGCGAGTCAGTAAGAAAAGGGAGTATGGAGGGAGACAAGAAAGGTGAATGGAGAAATAGTTGGAGGAAGGAATATTTAGAGGAAATACGAATACAGCCTGAGAGTAAGGGCACGTAAGAAGGTGAGAGAGATTAATGATGCGCCGGCATCTTTAGATAACTTTATTTCTCCTCAATAGGACTTTGGGGCAGTTAAGCTCGGAGTGGTATAAACTGAGCTGAGAAAAGAGAGGTTAGAGACGGGGAGAAAATCACATGAAGGGTGTATGATATCCGTTATTTCTCTCTCTCTCACGTGCATCCCTCCTTTTCCCTCTGGCTCTGTCCTGCCTGGTGTTCTCCTTATGTCCCCTTGCTGAAAACTAAAATCCAGATGAAATACAGGCGAGACTAAGAGGCAGCCATTAGCCACGTGAGAGCGTGAGGGAAGGAAAATTGCGTGTGTTTGTCTTCATGTGAGGAAAAAAATGTTTGTTTGTTCATTTGCAGGTCCAGACTCTTTCCGCTCCCGCCCCCCTCCCACACACACACACACACACACACACACACACACACACACACACACACACACACACACACACACACACACACACACAGACACTAACGGGTGCGATGTCACCATTAAGTCCTCATAATTAGGTTTTTGTCCAGATCTGATTGGCTGACAATTTCCACCCCACCACGAAATCCTGTGGGAAATGTTGCCACAGTGGTGGAGGGGACTGTATATCACTGTCAATAACGCTGCTTCTTTTCTATTTTTTTCTCTTTCTCTAATATTTCATCCAATGCAAATATTTTTATCCTGATGGCAGAAATCTATTATATTTACAATGTATATGTTTACCTCTGGCTCCATTGGAGGGTACTTTCTCCCTTTGCTCTTTCCCAAACATTTTGTCTTCCCCCCCTCAAGGAGCTGGCACCAAAAGCCCTTCTGGGGGTCAAACCTGGGATAAAAGAAACAGAGAGAGAATAGACAAAGAAAATAAATCTCAATGAACATTCAAATTAAGTAATCGGCCGAGGTTGTTGTAAATGGTAAATGGACCTGGACACTGTTTCTAAATATCATTCACATATTCACAGACCGGTGGCAGGGGCTGCCATGCCCATCAGGACTATTTAATTATTCACACTGTAATTATACGAAAAAGCCAACCGGATTATTTAGGGTTAATGTCTTGGCCAATAAAACATTGACAAGAACTAGCAGAGCCGGGGATCAAAGCTCTGATCCTCAGATTGGAGGATGACGACGATATATATTCCCCTCGTTCTACCCATGGCCTTTTTTATATACAGATATAGATAGATAGAGGTGGTTCTATTAACCCACTGAGGTCAATTAAAACACCATATCAGCAAGACAAAAAATACAAGGCGATACAACAAGATGGAAACAAAATAAAAGGGAGCAGACACACACTGCTGCTGTAACAGAGAATGGACACAGTGCTTCTCAGATCAGCAGAGAGCAAAGACTGTTTGCAGTCCAGCTGCAGGACATGTGACAACCTTTCAAAAGGTGAACAGGTGGTAGGTGGCTTTCAAAGCAAAGAACTCTAATAAATGCATGCTTGTTGGCCTTCCATAAATACATATGCACGTACATATTAATTAATGTGTGCACATTTAAGTGTACATTTGAATATGAGGATTGGATAGGTATGTCTGTATGTGGATTGTTTATTTATATGCATCATTATCATTGCATAACAATGAATTTATAGAAAATGTTTTTGCATGTATACATTAATACACCATCCTTATGTAATATAGTAGCATATCTAAAGAATATGTAAAAGATTACTGCAATTTCACAGTCAGGGTGTAAAGGCCAGTATTGATGTGATTGTGATTGGTTAATTGACTGAACGATGCAAATATTGTCCTTAATCTGTATCCATCAGTGGCTGAATAAAAGAGGAAAAAAAATTGTTAAGTGGTTCTCCTTCAGCTTTCCTCTGACAGAACAGGCAGAAGAAAAGAAAGAGGGATTAAATAAATAGGCCCCAATGTTGAGGATCTGTCAGACCGCTGCCATGTCAAAAGACTGAGAAGTTGAAAAGAAAGATTTGGCTTTTGTGTAACTCTGTCTTCACCCCAAAACACACACACACACACACACACACACACACACACACACACACACACACACACACACACACACACAGCTTGCTAATTATTCTGTCAAAATGCATCTCTTTGCACATTATTTGTATGCATGTGGGCTGGTGATTCACGACAGAGGCACTCGCTGTCCCAATCTGAGTTACATATTCGAGATGTCCCTGACTGGAAATTTGAGGGCAAATAGATGCATTCTGATGAGTAGTGCTCAGGATTAATAAACCAGCCACCGCTCCTCTCAAACTGTAATGGGGAATGAGTTGAGAGCATCAAGAGGCCGTAGCTAATTTGTATGACACGAGGATTCAAGGCAACGTCATATTACCGCTTCCTCAATAAAACACAGATGCTTCTCCTTTTCATCTGCCTATTTTATCATTTCTGAAATAATGCAAAGAATATGTTAAGATCATAGTGCAGATGTTGCTTTAGTTATTTACCTTGATGACTGGTGTCTCTGCTTTTTTAGTTCCTTCAGATTGACACAGTGCAGTGGCCTAACCTTTCCATCCTTTTATTTAATCAGACAGCTCTAATACAGATAGGCAGGCAGTGTAAGTGAGACAGTGCTGAGACACCGTGGGGATTTGACATCTGGCCAGCGGCTCAGAAGGGCCGAGGCTTCACCACTTGAGGCTTCACCGTCTTTTGGCAAGAACGGGCATCCATTTTTTATTGTGTGTACGTGTAATTGAAAACATCATTTATGGACTTCAAACTGTATGTAATCGAATGTCAATATCCCTATGTTTGGAAGTGATCGCCTAGAATATGTGTCGGAAGATGTAAGCATTGAATACGCGAGTCATTACACATCCAAGAATATTACCTGCTACATTGATTGACATTTTGACACTTGTAAATGACTTTTTTTCACAACTTTCACCTTAACCTACCATAGCTAAGAACTTCACCTTCAACGATATACAACTTCCCCCTTACGATACTGACAATGGTCAACACCAACATTTTATTCAAGGGATAAATGTAACAGCTCAAAACAAGTTATTAGTCGACCATATAATATTGGCTCGTCTTTGATGCCAGGTCGTGTCACTGGCTGCTGGTTTTAAAGAACGACACCACCTGGCAATGAAAGGAGCAGAGGACCAGAGTCCCGCTGTTCACCAATAGATGGCAGGCTGCACATCGCTTTGGTGAGTCTTGTTGCAGCACTCGAATTTCACTCAGGGTGAATTTTAGGAGAAAGCTTCCCTAGCAAGGGACGCCAGAGATGTAGGAGACCTGAGGGAGAAAGTAAAAGAGACTCACGTGAGGGTCTGGGAGTAGTTGAAGTGAGGAGTGACTCCCAAGAACTTCTGGACTTCGTCCATCACCGCTGCAGGGTCAGTTCTCAGCTGATGGCCATCTATGATCATCACCTACACACAGATACATTCACACTGTAACACTGGGTACTATCAACTAACTTCTTTGTGAATAGCATGGGAGAGGCTTTTTCCGTACAATTTGATCCAAGCTACAAATGCTGGCAAACAGAACTGTGAAAGCAGGTGTAACATACCACTTTACTTTTGTTATTGAGTACATTTTCAACCAATCTTATCAGGCAATGAACAAAGTCTTACTGTATGAGGTTCCCAGAGCAGCAGGATGCCTCTGGGTCTGTGTATGTGCGTACCTGGTTAGCGGGGTAGTTAGTGAGCCACCTCTCCAGGTGTGAGGAGTAGAGACCGGGGATGAGACAGCGACTCTGCAGGGAGTGGAGCTCGGCCGGCGCCCCCGCCCTTGCAGTGATGACATCATAGAAGGTGAACCTCAGGGCTGCGTGGTCCTCGTGAGCTCTTTGATGCTGGGAGGGTAAGCAGATAGCGGCACATGAAGAAATACTCTAAGCGTACCACGGATCTCATTCCTTGGCTTAAACGTCAGGTGATGAATTCACAACTTTACACAAGAGACTGTTTTTAACGTCGACAATGACATTTGAGCTGGCACGTTGTTGACATTCATGTCTCTTTAATCACAGACTTGAACCGGCAATTTCGGGATCTTGTGACATTTCCCACTCCGGGACGTATGGAAAACTCAGGCTCATTAACTCCATCCTCACAGAGAGGAATCTGACTAGAAGTTCAAATCTTGGGTACAGAATTAATTTAAAATCAATACAGAGATGAAGCACATCAGATGATGGACCAGGCCGCTGTAGAGTAAAATGATTTAAAATACAAAATATTATATATATATGTATACATATATTACACAGTATATATATGTATATTCTGCTTGTGTGTGTACCTGATACCAGCTGTATGCCCTGTCGGACGGGTTGATGAGCAGGGTGATGATCTTGGCCTTGGGCAGCAGGGCAGCAGCTCGACGGGGAGACTCCTCAGAGGGGAAGTAGTTGGCACTCTTCTCAAACAGGAAGTCGGTGCTAACATTAGAGGGCACGGGAAAAAACTCCATGTACCTGAGACAACGAACGCACAAAGGACTTTTAAGGAAATGCAAATGCACATCCCACCCACTAATGCTACGCGCCTTACAGGCAGCGCGGCATTACCGCAGACGCAGTCGCCCGCCCAGTGTACTGCGCTACTTTTCTACAAAGTCAGTCTAAAAGTTATGCCCTTAATCTGGGAACCAAAAATAGATTTGACAATATCATTTTAACTGTGTTTAATGACACATTTTCAGAGCTCTTTCTGGGATGACTTTGGATACTGCACCAGCTGTGTCTTTGGCAGTTAAGTAACCCATTTATGGGTCAATTTAGGCGTCCATATGTCTGTTGGCTTATGTTTTCTGCCCTAAAAGATAACTTTGGAGATTTTTTAAACCTGTTTTGAACTGCTTAACGTTTAATGGAAGTCTATAAGACACATGAACATTTACAACAACCTTGCAGAAATGGAAAAGGGTTGTTTACAATATTTTTTTTCACCTAATAAAAAGACCAGAATGCTAATTGTTGTAGGATGTGAGGGTGTGTCTTTGTTCTTACCAGTCAATTCCTTTGTGGTAGTTATTGGTGTTGAAGAACTGGACTTCCTCGTACGTCTTCGGACTGGGGAAGTTACTGGAGATGGAGGGATGCATGAGTAGGAAGAGATAAAGTGCTGTCGTTCCTGGAGGAAAAGGCATAATTCATAACCGGCTCGTTAATGCAGCTCAGCAGAGAGCAGCCTGTGTGTGTGTGTGTTCTGTCATCCACTGATCCATACTGGATGATTTTACCCTCCGCAAGATTTATATCTTGCTAAAAATACACTATATGTGTGTGTGTCTGTGTGCAATGGTCAGAGGGATCCCTACCAAATGATTCAAAAACTGTTTGACACCAATTAGCACCTGGGGTTTTGGTCGTGTCCTCTTTCTCACCCTCAGCAGCTCCCTTTTCACCCCGTTCCCCTAAAACTTCCTCCCAGGCATTCTGCTACATGCCCTCTAACCCTGTTTTTCCATTTGCACTAACATCTCTGTCATGTGAGGCATGCCCTGCCATAAAACGAGAATGAATTGTGCTGTGGTTGTTGTCGGACTGCTAATGTTGCCATGGTGACCCCCATTAGTAAAATTTCACCTGGTTAATGAGCAGCATTGTTGCACCGCCTCACCTCTCACATCCAACACCAGCAATTACAAATCACGGGATCAACGCAGAGCCAACGTATACAGATTCTTTATCAATCTTTTTTTCTCTTTGAGGGAGAATCTCAGAAAAGGAGAGGCGGTTAGTTTGGTGGAAGAAAAGAGGCAATAGACTCCACCTCCGTCTGGCTCGGAGAGCACCAAAGGAGCGGGGGGGATTGATTGATCGGCTCTGGTTTTGAGGATCTGTAGACACCTGTGCACACTGAAGGAGTGTCTTGTGTGAGCATGTCTAGTTTTGTGTTTATGTGCAGCTTACCAGTTTTCTGTGGGCCAATGACCATGAACTTAGGCAACCTGTCACAGGTTTTCTCTTTAGACCAGATGTCTTTGTGTCGTTTGTCATCGCATGGGTTCTACAGACGCACAGACAAACAAGTAGGGATTGAGGTAATGATGTACGCAACAAGTCCAAGAAACAAAGAGAGAAAAATAATGCAGTATATCATTTTCAAACAATAGTATAAAAATGTTTGAATATAAAACGTTACGATCACATACTCAGACCTGCAATGTCTATATCTAAATATATTCATATTGTGAAGAGATAAATCATTTTTTGAAAGCTGATCACCAGGACAATGATTTAAAATGTGCCTGTGGTTATTGAATTAGAAGGGAACCTTTTGATATCCTTTGTTACCGTGTTGTTACCATCAAATATTAAATGACTCTTTCAAGAAATAGGCATGACACGATCTACACTTATTCACATCCCTTCACCTTGATTTTCTACAAAGCAGAAGAATCATTTTTTCTTGACTGCACCTTCCTAAATTTGTTTGTGGAATCAAGTTGGTAATGTCAACATTTCGGATTTAAAAAATTGGTCTTGTTTTTAAAGGACTTGCTCTGATCGGGATGTCCATATGAATTTAATAATTTGGAAATAGTATCAGCAATCTACCCTGTAATTGGTTACAATTGTGTGTGTTCCTTGCATGTTGGGTGCTCGCTAAAACTTTTTAGTTAATCGTACTTTTGTATATTGTTACCTCATCGGTTTATTGTTTGTGTCAAACTCTGTTCATTTCCATCGTTATATTTATATATATATAATTATATCCACATTTTTTTCCCGACATTTGAGACAAAGTTTGAATTCTGCAAAAAGAAACCTCATTAAATGTATTAAATCCACACAACAAGAATGTTTAGACACAGGAATGCACAGTAAAAGACAAGAGAAGAAACACACCTGCCACAGTGGGTTCTTTTGTTCAGGAAAAAGCTGGAAGTACTTGTGTGCAAGCTGCATGGGCGGGAGTGTGTGGAGTTTCAGGTTTGTCCAGGAGCGAAGGAAGGAGGCCAGGTGGACGAAAGTGTAAAGGCCCAGTCGGTCATTGCCGTAGTTAGACAAGTGGGTCATGAATATACTGATCTAGGGTGGGGAAACAGAGATGGGGAGGAGGGGAAGAAAGGCAAAGGGAGAAGAGTGGAGAGAAGGAAATATATACTTATTGTATATTGTGCAAAATTGCGATAAGGTCAAAATCAAATTCCCCAAGTTCCCGTGTTTCGGAAACAACTAAAGCAGCGCAGTAGATAGAATGTTGTTGTCACTGCAGCGGAAAGCAAACAGGGTGTGATGGTTTTAAAGTCACTAAAAGAGCAGCTGTCCACCGGGTATCACTTTGCAAAGAGACACACTCACTTTTGTTACGTAAGATTGCATTCACTTTCATGTATTAAGAGAAAATCTGATAAACGGAAGCGGATGCCTTCCACCCTTCTGAGAGATAAAGCTGAAGAGGCAGCACAATACTCCACACAGCCTCTGGGTGATGGGAGAGATGCAGCTATACGCGGGAATGTGTGTCGGTGTGTGTCGGTGTGTGTTCACGGCGGTTAACGTGTGCGATGGAGAAGAGAGTCACTGAGAGTGGAGGAGCGATAGCGTGTTTGGTCCAGGCTATCTGCACACGCCTCAGTGCTTTTATAGGCTGATCGAAGAGACAAGCTTCCAAAGCTGCTACAGATAAATGCATATACACACACACACACACACACACACACACACACACACACACACACACACACACACACACACACACTTCTTTTGTGATTGGAGGGAGCTTGGGTTTGTGAAATGTCTGGATGAAACGATAGCATCAGCCATTAGGATATGAATTATTTGGCCGGTGTGAGCATGCGTCCGTCAGTATGTGCATGGATGATTGTGTGTCAGTATATTTGGGAAAACGTCTGTAAATGAGAGAATACACATACATAGAAAAGACACACAAACATACTCAGAACATTTCCTGGTGACAAAGGACAGTCGGTGCTCCTCTTTAATGCTGAAGGTTGCCGCGGATACAAAGCGACACAGTGTCGGGGTTTGATGGATCAGCGTCCGGCCGACCTGGGAAGCTGTGCAGAATACTGATGGCACCAGAATACTGATGTCTGTGTGTGTGTGTGTGTGTGTGTGTGTGTGTGTGTGTGTGTGTGTATGTGTGCGTTAGACACACAAAGAGGAGCCAGATGTGTGCAGCTTATTGTATGTGTCTTTTTGACAAAGACCACAACACAGAAAGAACAGAGAGGAGCAAAGGTATTCATGTCAGAGTCATTTTTTCTGTGTGTGTGCGTCTGTGTGTGTGTCAGCATAATTGTTCACGCATCTATGTGTTTGTGTGTCCCAGTACAAGAGTGCGCATCCGCCACGGATTTCGTCCTGTGCTCACTTTAAGCAAACCTCCAGTGCACCATTCAACGTTGCCTGCTTCGTATCAATCTGGTTTATGTGCGGCCAACAATGTGGAACCACTGTCAAGGCAACACCAACATGCACTCAACTAGGAACAGACACACACGGCAGTATTACATTTTTGCTTATTCGTCCTCTCCAACAATAGTTTAAAAAAGAAAGTACCTCTGTCTGATATTGGAGTGCTGCTCTTGGAAACGTGTAATATTAAATTCAAATGAGGGGGATTTTAGACTGATACACAGCCAGTGCAGAAAAAAATCAGACCTGAGTAAATAGACTATTAAATATCTCATTAACCATCTTGAAATGTGTCCCACCTCTCCCTTTTTGTATTGTTTTGTGCTTTTTGAGCTGGCAAAGTGATCAAAAAGTGATTTATGTTCCTTTCAAACCATTAAATGCCAGATTGAAATTGGGCCCAGTACAGGTGTGTATGCATGTTTGTGTGCGGTTTACATGCAGGTGTGTGTGCTTGAATGATTGAGAGAAAGAGAGACTGAGTGTCATCGGAGGTGGAAATATTCATTATGGAGCTGAAGCACTGGCTGACAAACTAAACAATTGGGGAGAGAGAAGATGATTTCTATTTGTAATTAGAGAGCTGCAGAAAAAGAGAAAACAAAGTACAGAGATTGTGTTTGTGGGGGCGGGGTAACCTTGACCGTTGAGTCTGAATTAAAAAGCCCCCAAAAAAAAGCCACTTGAGAGAGTGTTATTCTCACAACACAGTGCAAGCCCCAATCTCTTTTTAGTTTTTCCTTTTTTTTTTCTTTGAGTCTCGCTGTAGGCAAGAATTCCATTAACGGAACTATATAAACCATTTCTCTGCATCTGGTGCCACGTCTCATTTCCTGACTATTGGATTGCTTTGAGTCCAGTATGTGCTTTTAATAAAAAATAGTGTGCTTTTTTAGAACCAGAACTGGGCTCAAATCAGACTTGGAACTGGACTGGGAGAGAAGTGTGAAAATAGGAAAAAATAAACCCAACCCTGCAGCTTCCCTCTTACAAGCGTTTTCCATCGTCTTTTGATCCCATTACTCATTTTCAGCTTAATTCCCTCCTTCTTCTCTCATCCTTTTAATTTCTTGTTCTCAGTGTCTTGTTTTTTTTTTTTAACCCAAGTCACTTTGTGTATTTATTTTTTTCTCTACTCTCTCTCTGATCTTATGCTGACCTAGATGCACGAAGCATGTCAGTCAAGCATGTTCAAAATCCTTGTGCATACATGAACACACAGCCACAAAATAACTCCCTCACACACACACACACACACGCGCACACACACACATATGCCACACATATGCCAAGATTAACAGAATGCCACCCGTGTTGTTGAGTTTGTGACATGCTCAAATCCCGTCTGACATGATTGCATTTTTGAAGAAATTAAGTGTTGAGGTTGGATTAGTTTCCAGTTTTCACTCACACAGTTTTGAACTATCTCTCCGTCTATCCGTCTTTCCATGCATGCTCTCACTTTGTTTCTTCTCTTCCTTCTCTGCCGTTCTCTCTACCCTTCAATGTGTACCTGTAGTAGCCTGTTCCTCATTACATAGCACTAGGTTCTATATACGTTTCTCCTTGATTGAATCGTTATTACCACTAAAAATTAGCCTACATCACCCCTCTGCCTCCTCACTCTCATTTTCGTTCTCTCCCCTTCTTACTTCTGCAGTGTCTCTTCCTCATCAGTGGATAATTGAAATCTGAACGTCAACACACCAAATGATTTGGTTCAATTTATTCATTCAACATCTTCTGCCCCTTTCCATTCTGCCAAATTCCACTGCTTTGCTTTCACTTTGTATTTTATATTCCTGTTTGGATTGTGCAGTGTGTGTGTGTGTGAGAAAGCGGCTGTATGTGTTGATGAGCTGCCAAAGCCTTCAGTAGCAATCAGCAGGATTCCAGAGATAGGAAATAAAGGAGTGAAAATTAGACAAAAGGATTCATATATGTGTGAAAGGCAATATGAAAAGGCTTTTAAAAGAATTAGAGGCAGAAAGAGTTGGAGGAGAGGTGAGAGGCGAGAGTTGGTGAATTATGCTGATATGCCTAATAAGCTCAGTGCCAGAGCTAAGCATTAAATGTCAGCCCTGATATATGTCCACAGCTCTGCTTATGTCAGCTATACCCTCATTTGGACAGAAACACACATGCACACATACGCAGAAATTTAGAAGCTGACTCACAGACATATGCAAGAGTGTGTGGTGGTGTGTGTGCCTGCATGTGCATTGTTCCTCCCTGTATGTGTCTGGATTCTCAAGTGACACAAGATGCCGTGACCTGGAAATTAAATCTCAGTCTGTCTGCCACCTTCTCACCCTTCTCCCCCCTCGAACTCTCCTTGTCCTCCCTCCCTCCTCTCTCTCACTATCGCTCCGGCCATTTATTGGGGAATGACTTGTGCCCTATTGGCTGTTTGCAGTCTAGGTCGTCCAATCGATTTTCGAGCTTATGTGAGACGGGGAGTTCAATGATTGGTGATGCGGCGCGGAATGAGGCAAAAGTATCCTAACCCACACGGACACATGCACACACACGTGTGCACACATACAGTGCACGCACACTTTCAATACATGGTCCTGTCAATGGAAGTGACATTGTTACCAATGTGCAGATCATCAAACAATAGGAACTAAAGCAATGAGCTACAGAAGTCTATTGATTATACACACACTAGTCCACACACTAATCAAAGCTTATGCGTCTGCAAATGGAAGCACAGCAGGAAGAGGAAAATCATAATTTTTTATAAATGTGTGCATGTGTGGGTGTGGGGGGACGTCATGGCAGAATAGTTCTCTTCATTAAGACATCCAACAGGAGGAGAGTGACACACTGTGTTACACTGATTAAAAAGAAGGTAGTGAGTGAGAAGGACAAAAGATTCTGGATATGGAGGAATAAAAAGTAATTCGACAAGGCAATCTAGGTAGTATTTAATTGTGTTATCTTCAATCCAACGCTGGTCTTAATCAACAATCGCTAGCTTGTTGACTTGCGCTGCTCAGTCTCAACTGTAGAGTTCTATTTCTGTCCCGTGGCAACGCGGTCCATGCGTGAAGTGGACGGGATCGAATCTTTCTCTCAACTCTTATGTTCATTGAAATCTCTGTAATATAAAAATGTGAATTACATTCCCTTTAGTCTTTCACCCGATGGCAACCATCTAGTTTTTGCTTCTTATAAGAAAATTATGGGCCCTCCTGCAGGGAATGTAAAAAGATTTCCTGTATTTGTACCAAAAGTGTTTCTCTCATAGAAAAAGCACAACCTGATACACAGAAGGTGGGAGCAGCAATTATGAGAGGCTTATACTGCCATTTTTCCATATATCATTATCATTTTAAGACCATAAAAACATAGGTAGGAAGAGTGATGCACATGCGGAGACACAGACGACAGCACAAAGGAAAATAAACATACAGTATCAATAAATAAAACAGTGGAGAAGATGTAACCAGCGGTAACTAGATTGTGTAGCTGCACTTGACTGAGTGAGTCGTGACAGCTCCTCTGGGTCAGCGAGCCCCTAACAGACACTTCAATACAGCCGGCTGCTCTGTGTCTCTTTCAGAAATGATGAGTCAATGGAAGTTGTTTGCTAATAATTCCTGGAAATGCCTACATTTAACTGTGTGGGTGCATTTGTTTGCAGTTGTGTGTGCGAACATTTAAGATGCCGCCAAAATGCCCTTAATCCTTTTACTTAATTCAAAGCAGAATTGAGTTGAGCTGACATACACAGGAGGGGTAAGAGAGGTAGTGCGTGTGTGTGTGTGTGTGTGTGTGTGTGTATGTGTGACAGCAACTCCCTCCGTGGTGTGACCTAATTTAAAGTATGGAGATGAACACAGCTCGACAGTAAGAAAAAGCGCCTTGCAGGAAAAGAAAATGGGAGAGACACAAACACACACACACACACACACACATAGGGTGACATTTTTTTTTTAAATGAGCCAGACCAAAGAAGTTACCTTCACAGAGCGGAAAACCCAGCCGGGCCTCTTAAAGGTGCAAAAATGAAAACAGAACAGTAACAGTAACTCTTGCTCATGCAAGAGTGCGTGTGTTTAAATGTGTGTGTGCGTGTGTTGTTTTGTGACTCACGGGGTTGAGCAGCACAGTGAGAAACAGCTCTCCTCCAAGGATGCTTTTGTCCAGTTCCTTTGGTCCACCAGGATATTCCTTATAGTAGATCGTATGAGTAAACAAGCCACACGTCTGGCGGGGCAGCACCTACACACACACACACACACATGAAAGGAGGAGTTTAAAAAAGCTTTCATCAATTCTGAAACATACATGACATATGAGGTCACTTTTATGAGAAAAAAATCACAGAGAGTCCGTCTGTGTGTCTTCTGCATGAATTTAGAGCAAAGTGAAAAATCGATATTGACAAAGTTTGAGTAAAAAGGTGAACTGGGCCTTGTGCAGCAGTTAGGTTAGGGCATCAGGGCTCTGTGGACATGCTCACAGCAGGCCTTCACAAGGGCGGAGATTTTGGTGTGTTATGCTAGTAGTAGTTGTGGCCTTGAGCCTTGATACCACACACACACACCTTTTTCAATCTCAGGCTTGTAATTGAGGGGCTCTAGCACATTTATCAGGTTTGACTGGGGTCCCCCTGGAGTCACTAAAGGCTTTCTGCTCTTTCTTTGCATATGCATTCCCCAAGATCTGCAAACACAGTGGCGTGTTAAGTGGCATGTTTACGGTGATACGGTGATTCAGCCGGCTCTGTTTGTGGTCCTTAACGGTGCTCGCTCACCCATTTCAAGACCGAAGAACAAACAAACCTGGTAAAAAAAGCTTAAATTAACTACAACTAGCAGCACAAAAGGATAAAATGTACACAGCCAACACAAAATATGGCAAAAAACAAACAGAGACGGGATATTCTGATATGTTGTGTCATCCGGCATTTGGTAATGTCACATCTCACATCACAACTATTGCAGTTTAACAGACAATGTTTTCACATTTGGCATTTTGATCAAATAAAAAGCACAGGTGTAATTAATACCATAAACTGGGATTTGACTGACAAAGGCTTACTCTGGCACTTAGAATGAAACCATCATTAAATGCTACCAGCTCCACCTGAGCTTTTCCTATAATGACGAGTCATCATGACCGCTCTGAGAGGATCAATAAGTCAAACGAGGAATGTCCAAGGGACACATCGGTTACCCAAAGAGTCTAGAGACCCTTTATTTTCGAGCAGGTTTATGGAACGCACAGGTGAAGCCTTCCCGAGGCACCGTTCCTCCCCACCAGCTGGGTATTCCCAGGACTACTATGGATCAATTATAATCCCACCTCAAGCAGGCGCCCCGTGCGTCCTTGATCACCAAACAGCAAACACCGCCACGCCCAGTGTGAGGTACGTAGTCGTGCCTCGATTGAATAAAGCAGTGCCAAATTTGCAATTTGCTATACATTTTAATATCTAAATCATCTTTACAGCTATATTAAAGATTACACCTAGTATGTTACAGAGAAAAATTAAAAAAAAAATCAGTATGTGCGGGATCAAGTGTGTAACAGAGGATGAATTCATCTCCTTTTCATTAGGTCATTAAGTGACTTAAAAGAAGAGAATAGAAGGTCTTTATTGTGAACTCCTTGTGGAGCACTTTTCGGTGTGAAATAGAGAGTAAAGGCTGTAAGCTCATATATTGGTTTATCTATAAAACACTGCAGTCGTTCACACTCACACACATGAGACAGAAAAAGAGAGAGCGAGAGGGGGAGTGAGAGAGGGAGAGAGAGAGAGAGAGAGAGAGAGAGAAGCCACCACAGCCACAGACACTATTTCACCAAACCAATTATCCACACAGCTATAGCTCAAAATGATATACTATATTTTAAAAAGAAATACACACACACACACACACACACACACACACACACACACACACACACACACACACACACACACACACACACACACACACACACACACACACCTATGCATGTTTGCTTGAGTGCACACACACACACACACACGGATACAGCACAATCCAATATTTCAGTCTGATTTGTTCGGATACTGTGGGTCCACTGGGTGGCTCTCAATCTGCTGATAGAGACACAGAAACACCCATTTTGCAGCCTGAAGATAACTTCCCGTCCTCCTCGGAGCAAACAAAGATGGAGCAGGCGGCAGAGGGGAAGGTAGTGAGTGATGTGCAAGAGTAACTTATTCAGGTTTGGTTAGGAGTCTGGATAAATTAAGAGCTACATAATATCATTTACATAAATGCAAACAATATGTCCATGAGATAACTGTAAAAAAATTGGATCTTTTCCCAGCCTCCCTTTGCTATTTAGTCCTGCTGGATGTCTTCTTTATTTCCCTACCATGGTCACCTTACTCCCTATTTTAAATATATTCAATAATTGCTAGTAATTCATTCTTTCAGAGAACTTTTCAGCCGTTAAAATAAATCTGCTCTCAAGGTCCATATAAAAGCTGATCTGGAGCTTTTGATTATATTGAGTAAGCTTCATCTCCTCCTGATGAGGAGGAAAATTGCTTTGTAACGGTTAGATGTCTTCAAAACACACACACACACACACAGAACTGAAAATGCAAAGATTCCTGTGCAGCTGCCTCGTTTTGAGGGAAACTGTTGGAGGTGGGAGTGAATTCAATGCAGCAAACACTGGACACCTCTGAGAACACCAGCGGCTATTCAAAATCACGGACTCGGCTTCAGATGTGCTTTCTAGAGGTCATCTCGTCGTACCGTTTCCCTCAGACAATTCATTGATCACTTTGCTGAACAGAGTGAGATGTGGGCAAACCTGAGAGACCCGGAAAGCTCAGCTGGAAAACATTTTATTTGAAAAACAAAGACACCAAAGATGTCTTGGAGAACAGCTGCTTCAATCATTGGCTTCATTGTAGGCTTGAGAGTTATTTTTGCTGGGGGATTAATTATATTTCAGCCCACTTACTCTTCAGCTCTTCTTCTTCAAAAAAAAACTTTTGTTGTTCAATGCTAAAAGGTTTTGTTTCTTTCTGACGGTTTTGCGTCTCCCTGTTTGCGCGCGGTGTCGTTTAGTATGTTGCATGGCTTGTTCTAGTTTGGTAATTCCCTGATGCTTCTCAATAGCTTATTATTGCTACTGTATAAGAGCACATTATAGCCTTGTCAAAGTGTCAGCTTGCTGTTGTGTTGAAAGGACGTAGGATTAGGAGGCTGTCTTTTATGACTCTGTGATGAGATGTCACGAAATAAAAGCAAACTTCGAGGACTGATTAGGAAATTGACCTAGCTGTCAGTTCAAATTGTCTACTCAACACCCAAATACAGCAGAACAACATGGACTCGTAATTTTGGTGTCAGATGTGATTGGTTCTTTTGTCGATATGGGAGCAGTTGTACACATTGACAAAGAGCCTGACTGACAAGTGAAGAAAAGGAAGACGGGGGGGGGACAGGGAGAGAGGGACGAGGACAACTCGCTGAGGTGGAATGGGCGACGGGAGGTTTTTGTTTTTTCCACTGCTGATTCAAACAGTGACTGATCAATTATACATTTGAGCATGAAATGCTCTCATTAATAGATCCTTATTGTAAGACGTGGACCCTCTACACACACAAGCACATAAATGCACACAGGCTCAGGCGCACACAACTGCTAACTTCTTTAGCGGCCGTCATAATTGAATCAACACAGAAATGTGGTGAGACGAGGTCAAAGAATACATTTAGCACACATAAACACAGGCACACACCAGGGTTACACACCACGCAAAGCAAAATTGATTTTGCGTTTAAGACCGCAAGAAACAATCAGGAGACGATTTACTATTCAGCACTTGAACAAAGAGACAGTGGATAGAAACGAGTTTTTCAAAGTAAGATGAAATAATCCAAAGAGAATATTCTGCATTTACGGGTTCGATTTAGAAATGATTTACGTTTGATTCAAATAATTGAAGTATGTATTTTTATAGTATATAAATATATAGTATAATTGTATTTTTTTTTTGGCAAGCAGGGATACTGGGTGTTATCCATGACTTCTGTGTGATCAAATAGGTTGTGTTAGAAGATGCACACACGGGAGCTCTTTAAAGAGGCAGTTTGTTGTGATATTTATCATCTTTATCTAACTAACCCGAATCACCTTTTTTTGTCAAAATGCTTTGTCCGCCAACCCAACATATTATAGTAAATGTGTCTACACAGAGTACCGGCACTGGCTTGTATGAAAGGACATCCATAACCACCACCTGTTGAAGCGCGGCCTACACTGTTCATCTTTAGCTCTACAGCAGAAAAGAAAAGTGCAGAATATTCAAAACAACTAAATAGTAAAGATAAATATCATTACTTTCAAATGATAACTGCCCATCTATTTTTACGTTTCTGCAAAAGTCACCCGATCAAAGGGCTGCTATGAATGGTCATGAGTGCATTTTGGAGAAGCGTGCGTGTGCTCGCCGCAATGGCGGTGCAGCCTCCAGGGAGGCTTTTTGCAGCCATGTGATTAACAACGCTGCCTGCTCACCATGATGCCGTTGTGGATGAAACCCTTGCGGTAGCGTGCCGGTTTGAGATGGGGGTACTCTTCCGTGCTGGTCACTTGGATGTTCCACACGTGTCTCCAAGCCTTGTAGAGCTGAAGGTGAACAGGGTAGACACCTGAGTGGTGAGGGGCCACGGCGTAGCCCATGTCCACTGGGATGCTGTGCTCCTGGAAAAGGATATAACGTTATACGCAGGGACAGCTGTGTGAGGGTTATATACATAAACAGAAGTTATAGCGCATTTACAACTCTTGACAAAGGACCCGGCGGGACATAAACACAGAGACCAGCAGTCTGACCTTGTAGAAAAAGCACGTTGGTTTGTGTTTGTTACGACGCTGGCCTTCATGTTCAAAATAGTTTGTGTGAGCATGTGTATGTGTGGGAGAGTGAGGGCGGATGGCTGCTTGGTGCATCTCGCAGACTGATGGTGTTGTCCTTCGCTCTGACACACACCTACACACACTGTCAAAGCTAAGCATCAGCGGTCAGGGGATGAGTGGAGCATGTGTGTGTGTGTGTGTAATAGAGGTGAGGGATCACACTTTATGAACACATTTATTTTCAAAATATTAGAAAATATGTTCATGGTAAAATATGTTCTGTAGGAAAGTTGTTCTACAGTAATCCTTTTACTGATTAACGTAAAGACATATAGTATATATATATATATATATATATATATATATATATATGTATATATATATATATATATATATATATATATATATATATATATATATATATATATATATATGTCTATATATTTATAGACATAGATATATTAATATCTATGTATACATGTTTGTACAGAAACAGAAAACAAAAGAAGTACTGTCAATACTCTTAATTGCCTACATTATCGGCAATTTTAAACTGTTGTCTACGTCCTGTGGTGTAACAAACTCCTCTGCTATGGATTAAAAAAAAAAGAGTAATATATTAACGTTAACAAAGCGTAAATAATTTAGATTTCCTGTTAATAATGTAGTTTATGTACCAAAAAGTGCATTCTATGTTTTAGAACAGTTGCAGCGCTTTGACCTGTGAAAATCACTGCTGCAATCTGCCGCAGCAAAAAACAAAACAATTACTAACAGCAACAGACGTCCTTGAAGAAAATGCAATCATGGGAAGCCGGAACGATTAGAAGGACACACAAGAAGTACGATGGGTCCGTGTACCAAATAAACAGCTGCGAGGAACGTGTGTGCTTGTGCGCATGCACATGCGTTTGTGTGCGTGGATCCGTCTCACCAGAGCAAACTCCTTGTTGAGGACCATCTGCTCCAGCAGTGAGGACTCGTTGTGGAAGAGGTGAGGCTGCATGTGGCTCCACATGTGGGGGAACCACCAGAACTCGTCCACATACTTCAATAGTAAATCATCTCCCTCATCCTCCTCCACCGTGCCTGCATACACACACAAACCCCCCCCACACACACACAGACAAACAAACAGACACACAGAAGGACAAAAGGACAAAAGGACAAGCAGTCAAAGTACCTTCCATGCATCAAGTATATATAACATATTAAAATTGTTGCCCCACACAAATTGTCTCTGAGGTATTTTAAGGTTGTGGTGCTAAATAAGGTAAGAATCTGATACCATGCAACATGAATAGTAGATTTGAAAGCAATATATTCTATTTGGCATTAGATTTTTTGTAGTTCTATCAATAACTCTGTGTAGCGATCTTCATGTATTTTCATAAACTACATTTTTGTTAGTGTAAACGATTGCAACATACCTTAAGTTCATACCTAAATTAAATAATTTCTGCTTGACAAAACATTTATTTTTGATCGATACATAACCTAAAAAAAATGTGTTAACATTTCCTGGAATAACTTTTCATGTTACAAATATTGACACAGATATTGATTGGTTTATATGTTTGTGGTAAAACAAAGAGCTTCAGAGAGGATTAGAAACAACCGATGGCGACTGCTTTGTTTGAGAAATTTGTCGTCAGCATTAACCTTTAGTCCAATGGGGCAGTTGGTTGGACTTAATCTCGCTGTCAGGCCGCTTTGGTCAAATGTCTGATGTCAAAAGGATATAACATGATCTTGTCATCTTGTTTCATGGATTGTGCTACGTGCAATGCAATTTTTAAAAGTATCCTCATACTTAATTTTTAAACCGAGTACGTCAAGCTTTTTACATACAACTAATAAATGAGCTATACATAAAAATAGTTCTTTGATTAAAACCACATGGATAACTCTTAACAAAGGCAAACCATTTAACCGCTCAACAGAGCAGCCATACGTATAAAAAACCCACACAAATTAAGTAATTAATATATTTAAGTAATATATAATGCCAAAAATCAGCCTTTTGAAAAAAAAAACTTTTTGGGACGACATTTTGCAGCCATTATCTTTGTATTTGTTATAGTTAGTACGCCTGGTACTGGTGTGTATGTCTGTATGGAAAAGCAAAAAAGAGAAACACACCTGTGTGGTAGAACTTCCCCGAGAAGCCCAGGTTGAAGGTAAAGTTGGAGATCTGAGAACGCAGCTGTTTCTGAGTATCAAGAAGAGCCTGCAGACGGACAGACGGAGATGAACAGATGAATGCATATACACATGAGATGGATAGTAGTGAGAGAATCACATGCAACACAATGGACTACAGTATTTCAGGTACATAGATCCCGGCTAATGGTGTACACCAACTTACTGTGTTTTGTTTTTTTGTGCGTGCCGCTTTATGTGTACTTCCAAAGGTCGTGCCTGTCCTTAAAGTCACCTAAGTCTCCGGTTTCAATACTCGAATCAAGAATTTCTCCATTCATTTAATGACTTCATTAGTTTACTGGCCTTTAAACAAAGACTCTGTAATGAGTGTTAACTAAAGAGAGTTGAGCATTCACACACACCGGCAGTAATGCGAGTTAATGAAGGTCAGTGCATTAGTAGCCTCTGGAGGGCGGACTAATAACCCCCGCTCACACTCGTCCCCTCACATCCTTCTCTCCATCCATCCCAAACACTACCAAGAAAAACCCTGCACCACGCACCCCCCCTTTCCCACTCCTCTCATACTGCCTCTTTTCGGATTCTCCCTCTATTCTTCCATCCCTCCGCTTCTCCAAACCTGCAGTAGCCCCCCCCATCACCATTTGTCTTCCACCCACCCTTCTCTGAACTCCATCTCTCTCTCGCCTGCGCCGTGAAAATGTCACATTCTCAGGAGACGGGGCTGTTCTAATTTGAAAGGAAGGCTGGAGCGGCATGGAGGAAAGATCCCTCTCCCTTTCTGTGGCGCCCTCCCCTCCCCTCCCCTCCCCTCTTTCTCCTGCACTCTCCCACCTCGTCTTCTTGCAATCGTTGCACTTCTCGCTGCTCCCCTTCCCAAATATTTGGTTTATTAATGAAACTATTAAGATTCTCTGTGTACTTCGGTCTGCTCGGTCTTTCTGTTGGGCTACGTGCCACATCTCTATTACCAATCTTTGTCATGCTGCTTTTAATCGATCCCCAGGAACACGGCCTGAATTAAGAGACCTGAGCAGCTGATGTCAGAGCGAGGAATTGGTTCCAGGCAGTGTCTCTGTGTCTCCTTTCAGCTCCTCTTCTCCTCTGTGTGTGTGTGTGTGTGAGTGTGTCCCAAACTAACACATATACAAACACATGCACACAGTGTCTTCATTAGCTTTAATCTAATGGTGTTGGAGAAGGCTGCATGCTGACAGATGTGCACAGATCACTAATCTGATCCCCTGTTTCCTCTGTTGTGACACCCTCTAAATCTTATCCACAAACACACACAAACACGCACACAAAAATGCAAAGACGTGTGAATTAAATTAAGTTTGTAGCCGAATGCTTGGCATCGTAACTCAATATACCCTCCCAGAAGCACTCGGTCGTCCAAATGCATTATTAACGCGTGCTGGTATCTGTGGGACTCGCCGTCGGTGTGTGTCCAAGCGCGCAGCGTATAAGTATAAACGTCTCATTTGTATTCTGCTCCCTTACATCCACAGCAGAAGACAGAACAGCTGTGTAAATGACCAATGGTTTTCACCCTGATTTTAAACCTTGTGCGGTCACGGTGAACATTTTGCTACCTTTATTTCTTTCTTGGAAAAGCTATATTTCATTCCTGCAGTTAATGTCGTTGTGAGAAAATCCAGCAAAACAAAAAGCAAACTTTTAACAAAGGGTTAATTCCCAATTTAGCCAGTTCTGGTATCAAGGAAGTTGTTGTTCAGCAGTATTTTCTAAAAACTCAACGCGGCCTCAAACAAGGAAAGTTTTCAAAACACCAAACTGTAACATGGATTATGAAACTTTTACAGGCAACAAATTGCTCACAGAGATGGATCAGCCCTCATCTGCAGGTTTCAGGTCACTACGAAGAAGATTTAAAAGATACTTAAAAGTTTTGTTTAAGAATATATAACAGCAAAGAGAGATTTCCCACACATGTGATTTTTGGAGCATCTGAGGAGCGTCTCTGTGGAAGCATACCGGCTGCTCAAGGGCTTTTGTGAATTGAACAACAACTCATTTTGGCAACTCATCATGCGTGTGTTCTATCCAGAGGTTTTAAACTGCAATGTCAATCCATCACAGCCCAAATATCAGGATACCGTAACCACACCGGAGTCAACAATAAATAGAAAAAACTTAGTTAGTAGTTGTGGTAGTTCCCTGCCTGTCCTGAGTGTTGCTCTATAAAACCGTACATTCAGGAATAGAGAGCAATGGGATTGCTACTATTGACCATCATAAGGAGGCAGAATTGCTACAAACTAGGCCCAGCAGTAAACAGAAGTGCACCTCATGGACCAAATCACTCGCACAGTGTACGACGAAACCACACCTCTGGCTCTGAACGACAATGAAGTCAAAGTGTCAAGAGGGTGACGGCAGCAGCTCAGGGGAAAATGAAAGAATTTGAGCAAAATGGAACCAATCTGTCCACTGGATGCTGAGCTCGAAGCTGGACGTTGTTGTTTAAAGACATACTTTATGAGGAAGAAAGGATTTAGATTGGCAGGAGTTGGGACGAGTAGCCCGTGAGAGACTTTGACAATCCTGGCGATGAAGGAAAACACACAAATGGATTAGCGGTTAGCGATAGCCCTCATTTCTGTGCCCAATCGCACAGCTGCCTAACACTCCTAAAGTGTCAGAACTAATGCCAGTTTGATTCCGTGTGTGTGTGTGTGTGTGTTTTTGTGTTCGTGCATGTGCGTGGTAAGCACTAGAAGATGTGCCAGCTAGATGTTGGGGTTCAAACAGATGGGAGACAGGCATCTGGACAGATGGCATTCACAGCCTTGCACAAACCCTTTGCACCAGCTACCTCTCCAGCATATCCCCATTTTGTCATGCTCCCATTTGCACCGTTTCTTCTCTTTTCACAACCTGAACCCTGGCTGGGAGATCTTAAAAAAAACAAAAACCCTAAGTAATTAAAAATGTTTGTGAGTGGGATCTTATGCTCACAGATTTGAAGGCGTGATAAAAGGAGAAACAAGAAAACGAAGGGGTGTAATTTTGTGCAAAAAGCAGGTCAGAGTTCTTGGTGCATCTATATGAGCGCAGTGTTTGTGTGTATCCGTGCATGTAATGTGAACACCAGACCAGCAAATTTAACTGGGTCAGGCATCTCTATTTGATGAAGAGAGAGACTACTTTACCAGTTAATGCGTCTTCCTTTCGCGTACTCTTCCCCTCTCTGTCTCACTTTTAGCGTCGCTTGTCAGATTTAAGTCAGTGTAGCTTTTCACATTTGAGAATTCAACAAAATCATCTACTCCCTTGCATTTAGATCCGAGGTACTTGTGATTGCTTTGGCATCGCTTTGCTTACACTAAATTCTACTTGGCAGACCCTCAAGGACGTTGAGTTTCAGTGATTGCTGTGACCGCAAAACCTGCCTCAGTTTTTGGAGGAAGATGCGTGGCCGACTGCCACATTCTCACGGTTCGTTTGAATAAAATCGAGAGCAGTGATGAAGCAGATTTTTTTTCATTGAGATGCTTACTTTAGATTATCACAATGGCAGAACTAAGTAATTTTCTGTATTTCATGTTTTTTTTTCTTTCCAACAGTGGAACTAAAACCTGACTGTGATCAAATTTATTTTACAATTCCAGATCAGAGGGGAGGGGGCTGGGGGGTGGGGGGGTGAGAGCAGATGTCAGGACGCATCATGCTGGAAGCAATATTCTGTTACATCTTTTATGTCATCTCCCTTACTCTCCTTTCCCACCTGCAACTGTGTCACTTTAAATGCCGCTAAGACTTACTACCTAAGATCCCCTCACAAGGGTGCCAATCTTTGTCAGGTATTAAATGAATGATACTGCCTGACAAAAGAATGTAATATATGTGTGTGCCTCATGTAACAAAAATCTAAGTCTCTATTTTCTCCCATTTCCTTGACTGCTTCCAGTCGTTTACATCTTTTCTCCAAGGATTCTCTTTTATTAATTACTTGGCAAAGTAATAGTCGGATATGGAATGAGCTCAGTTCCGCTGACTCAAGTGGCATCATACTTAATTAGGCTAAAGATTAATTCTAACTAGGACTGCACAATAAATCATAAACCGTTGTGCCAAAAACATTCATTGAAGTCTGAATATTGCCCATTTTGTTTTCTTTTCAGTTTTACGCCACGTTTCATTGCCAGACCAAAGTGTTAAAAAAGCTTTAACCTTACGAAGAGCAAAGAAACTGTTCAAACATCCCAAACTCATTACGCGTTCTCCTCGTTCTCTTAAATTTCTGAGCCCGTGGCAATAAAATGTCAAATAAAAACCTCAGAGCTGGATAAAAAGCTAAAACAGGTATTCGGTCTTAAGGCAAAACGGAACTTCATTGATTATAAGGCCACGTGAAAATAGTAATTATTTGAATCACAAAATCAAATAAAGTAATGAAAGCGCAGCAGTTCTGAATCTGTTCTGAAGATAAGGTGACTGTGCAACTACCCTCTTTAGATGCATGCAAATAGTCAATGAATTGCATTTTCAAGTCAATGTAGCCCAAGATGGTGTGCGTCCCGGCTTCATGTACAGTATGTGTGCTCACACACGTGTGTGTCCCCTCAGCTGACACGACACCTGTACATGACGCACGCCGCGGCGCCACTTGTGAAGGGAGAGACTGAGACCGAGTCGAAAGGGAGGCTTATAGGGAGGAGTACAAATCGTCCGGAGATGGTGATCAATGACTCGGGCAGAGGAGGAGGCGGAGGAGGCGAGGAAGGTGATTGGAGTAGGAGATAAAGAGGGATCTGAAGACGAGGACTGGACGCCTCCCTCATGACCATTCAGAATCAAAGGGGAGGGGCAAACCTGCAGACACAAATTTAGAAAAACAGAAGCACCGGTACGCGCAAATGGCATCATCCCTCATTTTGAGGCACGTCAACCGTGAGGTGGCTCACTGTGAATCGTTTTAATAGATGGAATACAGCTGTGTGTGTGTGTGTGAGTGCGCGTGTGTGTGTGTGCGTATGTGTGAGTGCAGACAGGAGGAGGTGTAGGTATTGTTTGTCACCAGATGAACTCGTGGGGTGAGACTAATGAAGAGTGCAGAGAGAAGGAGGGGGGGCATTTTAATTGGCCTCTTTCTCTCTTGCCGTCTCTCCTGTCTCACTCCAGGAGAGACAAGAGATTGAATGTTGGCTTTACAGAGTTAAGAGAGGATTTCTAACATTGGCACTGCAAACGCCATGTCCTACTAATTGGTCAATGACACATCCTGTTGCACACTTCACTGCAGTGTAAGACATAAGCTCTTTTTTTAGAAGCATGAGAGAGGATTTGCATCTTCACATAATTTGTGTCATTCCTAATAATTCACAATATGTTTGTGATGTCTTAAAACAATTGTTTGCCTCATACATAATCATTTTAGAAAGTGTTGAAATATTGAGTATGTTATTAGATGTCTTGATAAAGTAAGGATGAAATCAGAAAAAGGATGTTATCGTGGCCATCAGTCAGCCTGGTTTGATCCAAATTGAACCTAAAAATGATTTAATGTATTTGACCTGATGCAAACGTCTTGCTTTCATGATTATATAATTTCCCTGCAATCCACATGCATTAATCATTTTTAATACAATAATGAATTTCTTTTTAGATGTCACCTTCACCAAAAGCTAGGTGTGTACTTGACACTTACCAGCAGGATTTCCTGATCAAACAATCCCTGCCCCGAGAGTAAATGAAATACATTTAGCCGAAAGTGAGATGAATTAGCTGAGGCGAATAATTATGAACCTGCAAGATTTACGCACTTGACACTGTAAATAATCCGTAAAAAAAGTCTACCTGGGGGGGTTCCACAGTTCACCATATTCAGCTCCCTTTCTCTGCGCCCCCATTTCCCCTCAGCATTTTGTTTTTCTGAAATTATCTGGTAGCTCTTTCCTAGTTGCCACACTCCACCTTCCCCCACCTCCTTTTATCCCACCAGTCTTTTCTAGCCGTGATTGCAAAGACACGAGAAAGACAGAATGTGGAAGGAGTGCGACTGAATGACATCACTGTCTCTTTTTATATGCCTCTCTCTCTCCCTCTCTCTCTCTCTCTCTCTCATCTCCTTCCTTCCCCATCTCCCTGTCCTTCTGTTAAGGCACTGCTACATCCTCATGTATATTTATGCTACAAAGCTGAAGAGTCAGGCAGACTTAAAATGAAAACTCCAACTCGAGAGCACTTGTGTGCTCATTTTGTGAATGCGTGTGTGCGCACTTTGTGCTTGTGTGTGTGTGTGTGTGAGAGCGTGTATGTGAATATGCATTATTTGATCCTTTCTGGATTCCAGCATCTTTTTTATATTCAAAGGTGGAATTCCTCTCCACCTCACCACCCGCAGCCCCTCTCGCCCGGTTTTTCTCAGCCTCCCCATCCCTCTCATCTTTCCCCTTACTTTCTGCCAAGGACAGGTGGCTAGTCTTTTTCTTTTTTTTTTCTTTCAACGGCTGACTGGACAGGTGTCAGTCGTTGATCGGGAGTGACATTCTAATCTAAAGTAGTGATTTAAAAAACACTTGTGCACACACACACATGCACAGATACCTATCATGTATATTGGGCGGACAGGATTAGCTAATGCACGTCGGTGACGAGCAGCATGAATCTCACCTGTCCCACACGCACACTAACTCCCACACATGGAAACCCACCAAACACATTTTTTGCTCTCTTGACTGGCAAAGATCAAAGAAAAAACTCCCTTTGCAAGAATTGTGTTTAATCCACACGGCAAACGTGAAGTTTCTATGCTCCTATTTTGAAATAAATTCTATTTTTCAATTCATACCAATATTACGGTATAAATGCATGTGAACGGATGTAAATTTAAACTATTTGCAGAGGCGCACGTCGAGTGTATTTGTCTGTGAATGTGTGTGTGTGTGTGTGGGTGTTTGCTCATGCAAGCGTGTGTGTTGAAACAATAGCTGTCTTGAGAGGCGGGCTGCATGGCTGACTCTCCTTTAGTTTCTCTAAGAGGAGGAACGTGGGAAAAGAGGAATAAGTGCCATTCATCTTTTCACTGGCTCATTCACTGCCTCGCTTTCTCTCTCTCACTCAGTGTCTTTGTTCCCTTAAATGGCCTCTTTACTTCTGGCTAAACCTCCATTTGAGATAAATAGGCTCTTGCTGTACCCCAACACACAACAAGCACAGACATTAGACACACACACACAAACACACACACAAGCTTTACCAAGTACCTTGTTGGCATACCAGTGTCAAGAAGGTATTTATCTGCAGACTTACACAGCAATAATTGAAAATCACTTATTTTCACCGCTATGCTGCTATCAATTATTGTTGTTAGAAGTTGATAGCAGAGTGAAAAATATAATCCAACATCACTAACCACACATTATTTCTCAAAATTCCACTCTGTCTTGCTCCAACGCACATTATCGCACACCCATCATCACCCTCAATACCTTCACATCCTTGTTATTCATCCGTGTTCCTTCCTTTCCCACGAAAATGTCGTCTATATCCACCAGTATGTGCCGGTCCAGACCCAAGGCAAGCTTCCTGTCTGTGAGGTAGGAGATGGCATCCACCAGGATGAGTCGATGGAGCCAGTAGCCAAGTCCCTGGCCAAACAGAACTCGCCTCACCCCATCGTACAGTCCCATGTCCTGCACCACCGTGGCTTGGAGGCCTATGCTGAAGCCCGGCCCCGGGTTATCGCCGCTACCTGCCCCGGCTCCCTCCTTGGCCCGTGCATGCAGCACAGCCTGGTAGGTGGAGTGATTAGAGGAAAATGAGGTCCAGTCAGCCCCCGGTAGAGCCCCCCGATCTGTGCCGGGCTTGGTCAGGTGGAGCAGAGGTGAGCTAGACACCACACAGCAGTCCCAAAGTGCCTGGTTGGTACGAAGGACCACGGGGAGGCCTCTGAGCTTGAGGAAAGGCGGTGAGTTCTCGGTGGAGCGGTAGAAACCGATGATGCCCACTCTGTACTCAGTACAGTATTGATGCAACAGCTGTCTGTTCCACGTGTCCGCATGTGCGTACTTTAATAGATTTTCATAAATGATGAGGGAATATCGGCCACGACCTTTCTCTGTCAGCGGCGGAAGGTCGCCCTTCCCCGAGGCGATCTCCATGCGGAACTGGAAGTGCGCTGACTCCAATATAGCCACAATATCCTGACCCAACTGGGAGTACTGGGACTCAACGAGCACCAGCACTACTGGGTCCGTGTGGATATGCGTGTGAGGAGGGTTGGGGGGGTACGGGTACGGAAGTTGATGGTAGGGCGACAGCGGCTGGGAGCAGGCGGGTTCGGGGGATTGTCCAAGCTGCATGGAAGGGGAGGAGTTTGTGAACAGGAAGTAGGCAGAGAGGAGGAGGGAGAGGAGGCAGCAGGAGGCTAGCAGGAGCAGGAGCCTGCGCAAGTGGCGACGGAATCGCACGGCCACCGTCATCGCGAAGAGGGGGAGGTGTTGGGGCGTGGGAGGGGGGAGATGTTTTTTGTCTGCTGGAGCCAAGAGTTCAGGGGTCCGAGGAGCCCAGGAGATGGTCTTTGTGTGCGAGAAAGGAGCAAAGCCACTCAGGGGTGTGTCATGTCACCATGGCAGGTGGGGAAGGGAGCTGCGGCGGATGTTGGGGAACAAAGGTCTTTATTGAGGAAATAGAGTCTCCTTCCGATCCTCGCGCAGGAATCACCAGCGGAGACGGAGGGCGTTAAGATTAATGCCTGCAGAGAACGGGTACATAGAGAAAAGAAGGTGGATTTGTTGGTAAAAGGTGGAATAGTGTGCAGTAGTTCTCTGTGAATGTGCTCGTGGGTGCGCGTGTACCTCGGTTGTGCCACTATAGGGAATGTCAGGGCACAGCTGGTAACTACAGAGCTGATTGAACAACAACTTGTATCCTTAGGGCTTATACAACCTCTGGTGCACACACACGCACACACACACACACACACACACACAAAATGGGATCACATTTAAAAGCTAAGACTAAAGTCAATCCTCACAAATAAACAACAGCTGGTTGTGTGTTAATGTGGTAGTTTGGGGAGGTGGATGGGAGCTCAACTAATCAGTCCCACACAGCTCTACAGAGAATTCCTATAATTGCGTAAAACTCTGCACACTTCTGTCTTATTTCTGAACCTAATCATCTGAAATGCCACTAAATTGGAGTTGGAATCATTTTGCCAGGAGCACTAATCTGGGGGGAGCCCATGACAGTACAGAGGAAATGGAGAGCAAGAGAAGAGTGCACGAATAAGAGAGACGTAAAAAAATAAAAAAAAGAGGAACAAAATGCAATGAATTATAGAAAGAGACAAAAAAAGACCAGGATTAGCATCTTAATGTATGTGCCCCGAGCCACGGAGAAGAAAAGATCCCACAGCATCTCTTTCTCTCTCTTTTCCCTCTTCGCTTCCCTCTTCCCCTCTCTATCTGTCTACACCCCCTCTGTCTCTCCTTCTGTCTGTTTGAATATCAATAGTCTTCCCTCACGTGCTGCATCCTTCTCTCCTTGTTCCTTGCCTTTGGATAATAAATGCAAAGAGAAGGCTGAAGAGAAAGAACAGAGATGTTCCTTAAATATGACACAAAAAGACCTCTTTGTATTTGCCTTAATAGAAAACACAGTAGAGATTGTTTTGTTAGACAACTTGCTATATTGCTATATGCTATAGCTTGATAACTTAAATTGTTACTTGAGTGACTAATTGGTTCTCTGGTGTTGTGGGTTTTTTAACGTGAGGAGGAAATTGTCTTTTGGAGTCCACCAAGAAAAAGAGCATTCACTCACGTATTCTTGCTTTATGTATGTCTAAACTACAGGTGAGTGTTAACTTGTTCCTGCGTGTGTGTCACTGTTAGAACCCACAGGAGGGCGCTGGAATCGGATCAACACACAAGAGTTCATATGGAAGTTCTCCCCTTGGCATTTTAAATCCAAAATTACAAAAACTGCGAAAGTCAATCATGGTATATGACTAAAAGCTGAATCCTACTATTTGTTTTGGGGCATTCTGTTAATTGTCTTATGGGAAAAATCAAAATTTAAATTGTTAAAGAAATGTACTCAACTTAAAAAGCAATGGTGTTTTTGTACTACAGTGTTCAGGTCATAATAATAATATGTGATGTGTAATGTTATTTAGAACTTTAATCGTGAAAAGCCATGTAAAAAAATATGCATTAGTTAGTAAATTAGTAGAAGAAAAAAAACACAATCATGTTAATCAATCCATTTTACTATTGTGTTTGTGGCGTTAAAAATCAAATGAAAAAGAAATCAACCCGTAGAATAAAAAAAAAAGCCCGGGCTCAATTGGCACGCTGAAAGAATAACCCAAACAAACGGCAGATATTATTCCAGAGAGTTTCACATCCCGCTTATTGCCCAGAAGTTAACGTCTCACGAGGAGCACCGTGCAGCCGACTTACCTCTGGCCGAGGCAGGGCGCCGACGCGCGGCGGAGAGGCGTCAAGGGAGGACGGGGAGCGCGCCGCTGCTTCGGGTGGGTCCGGTGCTCCGGTCTCGGTGGCGAACCGCTCCCGTGTGTTTTGGATGCTCAAGCGAGTGTTCCATCTCCTCTCCCCCTCCCCCCCTGCCCCCCCCCCCCCCCCCCTGTCTCTCTCTCGCTCTCCCTCACCCTCTGCCCTCCACTAGAGCAGCGGATGCGGGCAGCCGGAATGATCGGCTCCCCCCTCCACCCGTCACCATTCTTCTCTTTCTCTTGTCTCCCCCTCCCCTCTCCCCCGCTGTCTTCTCCTCTCACTCTGTTCACTTCAACCCAATCTCGGGCTCTTTCTGGTGGAGATCAGGCGGCGCGGCGCGGTGTGGTTTGGAGGAGCGCGGACGTCAGCCAGCCCGTCAACGACTGACTACCGCCGCGTAAAAGCTCTGCTTTAAGAGCGCCTGCACAAGAAGGGGCGTTCGTGGGAGAGAGAGAGACACACACACACAGGAGGGGGTTTGGGCGAGGGGGGGTCGCTTTGATTGACACGAACAGACGTTTTCTCGGGCGTCTGCAATCGCTGGCCCCGGTAAAAGCTCACGGCCCGTTAGTTGGTGTTTGTCGGATGAAGGATGTCACGAGCGGGTACTCACCGGTGCGCGGTAATGGCGCGTCTGGTTGGTTTCTCCCCTTCGCTCCATGCACAAGTTGTGGTATTCAAGGATAAAAGGAAGAAGAAGGCAGGGGGGGCAATTACTTACACCATAGCGGGTGCAAAAACCAAAAGGCAATTCCGCACAATTAGAAATGGTATCAGCCTTGGGGCAAAGACAATCATGGCTCATGCATGGATGTTCACCCGCAGCCCCTATAGAGCCTACACTTCTGTAGAATGCCATTCCACCGGTGCAGCATGTCCATCACGCCGTGTTTTTAACTTGATTAGGTGTTCCCTTCTCCCTCTGCACTAGTTCATCAATCTCTCTAACCTATTTGCACTGACACACACTTACTTACACTCATCTCAGTGGAGCTGGTGGGCCCCTCATTCACATTGTAATGGCCTTACAATAGAGCTTATTTAGTGTGTGTTTGTGGGTGTCTGTGTGTGTGTGCGTATAGTGAGAGAGGGAGAGCACTTGTCCAAAGCGTAAAGAAAATGTATGAACCCACAGCGGTGCACTGACGGTGATGTGGGGTCTGATTATTGGCTACATTACAGACATGATAATGCACTTAATGAACATATGGCGTCGATACACCCTTTTTCATACTTGTATCGTGTTCTTAGAATGAAACCACCATCTCACTGGAAATCCCATTTGGGGCTCTGGGTTAGTGTAATGACCAAGCACTGGTGTTGAGAAACACAGCTTGAATGAAACATAAAGGGCAGAATATCATGGCCTACTGAATGGAATCCTGTAGATAATGAAGGTTTGGAGTGGAGTGCGATTCTGTTTGTATGTAAATGGGTGTCAGTGGCTGAAGTGTATTTATTAGAGAGTCTGTTCACCCATTTCTTCCACATTGAAGCAAAGAACCAATTCTGCAGTGGTGCCAGTTGTAGACAATGAGCCAGAAATTAAAACTTTACAGCTGTGAAAAGACTACATCGTAGGCCACAATGTGTGTAGTGTTTTCACACGTTTGAATTAACCCTAAAGATAATTACGGAGACATTCAGCATTGCCAACAAACGAGCCTCTGAGAAATCCAAAGAAGAGAATGCACGCATACACGCAATAAGCACAATAAGCATGGTCACTCTAACGGAAAGCTTGTTCTGACCCCAAGGCCAAGGTGCAAGTTGACAAAGCACAAACGTTGGCCAGCAAGTGCAGAGACATAAGCTTGTGCCTCATTGTGCAACAATATACGCATGGATTCAGCCACTCACACACATGTATGAGCACACCCAACAAAGGACTAGAGATGGGAAAAGTGTCAGAGCTGCCATGTTCAACTAGCACTCTGACAGTTGAACAGAGGAGAGTAGGAGACAAATGGCAGAGAGACAGAAGAGAGACATAGCGGGAGAATGCTTGTTGTCTTCATCACAGGCTTTTGTTAAGTGAGAGATAAGAGAGGAGGAGCGACTGATTTCCCCACTCTCCTCTCTCCCCGCTGAGAGCTAAATGGTGGCTCTGTTAGTCCCGTTCGAGACCTGAAGAGAGCAAATGGAGCTCGGGTGTAAAAACAGGGAAAGGCATTATCATCACGATGCATCACATCATCCCATGAGTCAGGCATCCAGACAACAGTGCAACAGTCACGCTTTACCGCCCCTAATTAAAAACAAAACAAAGCATACGACAGATTGTTGCATGCTTGCCCTGAACGCATTCCAGACCCTGAGCCTTCGCACTAATAACGGTACTCTTGTCTCCTGGCGGTTTCCACAAAGAGCCAGATCTATTGCTCGAACTAGCGGCTCTCTCTGAGATGCATCAGCTCTTCGCCTCCCACAGTGTAAACAACGACGGGCTCGAGCTTTTCTTAGGTGTACTGGCTCCTCGATGCTGTTGCTATTTCAATGATTCCTGCTCGCTCTGTGTGTGTACCACCTACCTGCCCCCCCTCCCCTCTCCATGCCTGGAAATGTTGATAGATGGATCTTCTCCTAAGAGCTTGGAGCTAAGTGAAAGCCCCCCCCCCACCCCATCCCCTTTCCTCCCACACCTCATCCCCATGCATATTAGAGGAAATATCTCCTGACCAATCAATACAGCGCTTGCAGATTGATAAAGCAAAGATAGACATGCGCCACAACGCACACATGTACACGCCCACACACGCCCAAAGACTCCAGTGTATAGAATAACAAGACCCAAATAAATCTATTACTGGAAGGTTGCCAATGGCAGGATTACCATAGCAACATACACCACCAAACTGTACGTTGCTAAGAATAATATCAAATCAATTCTTATTTTAGCAGTTCCATAAACTTCACACTTTGCATTTAGTCCATCCATTAGTATAGTAAGATACGCCCACGGCAGGCCTATTAAATTTAGTTTATATGAAAGTGGACAATTTATAGGACAATTCACACATGAAAATATAACAAATGTCATTATAATAACAGTCATTATAACAATTATCCAACTGTTATAAGTTAGTTATTGAACTCTTTGAATTTAATAACGAAACAAAGAACCAAACTATTCTCTATTCTATCGTTACAAAATGTTGAGTTTGAAAAGTTATTAATGCGTTCATTCTTTCTTTCTGTGTCTCAGTTTGTGTGAATGTATTTGAGGCCGTGCTCCAATAGAAAAAAAGAGCCATATCATTTTGGTGTCAATGGCATCGTCACTACCAAAGGCAAAGTACTTTTGGGCAATCAACGAAAGCAAAGTAAGAAAATAAAAATCAAGTGTTACAGTTTTTAGTTGGGATGTTACAACAACAACGAAACGTAAGTATGATCGTAGTATTGAGTGTTTTGGTAAGCGCAACAGTCTTTGTGACTCATTGAAAGACAGGATGCGGTAGGCCGACAAGAACTACGTTTTTTTGACATATTCAGGAACAACATAGCCTCCACACAAACAGAAACACACATAAATGCGCACACATGCCCACAAAATCATGCTTAACTCCCCCACATCTCAGTAAACAACCCAACACTCCCACACGTTTACAAGCCACAAAAAGTTGCAGGCTTTCTGTTAGTGACAGAAAGCACCTCTATTTCATGTCATATCAACACTTCAACTCCAAGTGGTGCTTCAAAGCGACATCAGACGGAGGATAAATGCACACAGAAGTGTTTAAGAATGAGCCTGCATGGGTTGAAAATGAGTGCTCACAGCATCATATGCTGATAGAAGGATTTAGAAAGTAGAAATGAGTGAAGAGGACTGGGGAGGATGTCAGTTATCAGATCGCGCAGCACTCAGGGGGAGGGAGGGGGTAAAGTGATCCATCTCAGTCTCCCTCTGACCTTGTTCCCTCTCGCCAAAAACCTGACTTACAACCCCAAACTAAATATGATACCTTCTCCCTCCGTCTCCCCCCCCCCCCCCCTTATGTCTCAGGTAATAAATCGCGCTGTAATTACCAGGCAGGATCGATAACAGTCACATCACTCCTCTCCCCTGCTCATCTCACCCGTCTGCAACTGACACTAACGTGTTCATCCCTCGCAGTGTGCCACTGTTATGGATCCGTGAGTGATAGATTGCATCCTGTTTCTTCTGTACACACACACACACACACACACACACACACACACACACACACACACACACACACACACACACACACACACACACACACACACAAAGACACATGCAAAACACAGGTACCCACTTAAAGGGTGCACACACAGGTGGATGAGCCCATGCAAATAAACTCAGAGGGACAGGGACAATCTCACAAGCACAAGTATTAAAGCTAGTCGCCACAGGGGGGGTAAGCCATAGGTCTCGGTTGCTATTGGAGACGTCTCTTCAGCAGAGCAACCAACAAAGAGTTACCGTTCCCTCCCAGAATAGCTCTCTCTGCCCCCTGTCTAATGAAATGGATGACAAAGATGAGCATAACATGGGCAGTCACACAGTGTGAACTTGTTGAGTTTGTCTTTGACGGAGAGCCACCGTGGACATAGGTGTGTGTGCGTGTGGTTAGGTGTGCCTGAGTGTGGTGTTGATGCATAATCATGCAAGATTAATGATGTTTAATAAGAATATCCTGGGGAGCGAGACCCATTTTCACACCTCAAAATTGCTGACTTGTATTTTTCTCTCGCATCCACACTTCCATGCACACTTGACGGTTGTGTGTGAGTGTGTGTGTGTGTGAGAGAGAGAGAGAAATGGAGTGTATGTGTCAATTAGCATAACAAATCAGCACGAGTGAGACTCAAGATGGTCCAAAATAAACACTCAGTTATCCGCATGCCTTCGGGTGAAAAATTGTAAAACATGAGAATATGAACAGAATACATACAGTACATGTTACATGCCCTATCCTGATTATTCATATTATACACAAAAGGTCAGCACAGCTTCTTGTGAATACAAATTACATCAATTAAATGTGTGCCGGTAGAAAGCAGGGCAGTAAGTGTCCAATGCATTGCTTGCTTGTGAAGTGCGACGGGCAAACAACACAGCTTTTTTGTTGATGTGAT